TTAAAGTGCTGCATAGTTCTGAACAAAAGGTGCACTTACCATTTATCGCCACTAGATGTCTCCCAACACCTTACTACAGATAAGTATCTATGAATGTTATACTGCCTTTCCAACAATTTCCATTCAGGTTTGAATTCAGGTTTTAAGGAGAAATGAGTTCTCCATACTGTGTCACTGCGTCCATTCAGTTTGTGTTGATTGAGAGTTTTAACAATCATTCTATAGATAACTTTTCGAGAAGCTCCTTCTAGGGAGATTCTTTTATCCACCGAATCCAAAAAAGGGCCAGAGCAGTTCTTTATTCCAGGAAACAGTCTGAAGGATGGAAAAGGATCCAAGTGATTTGGTGACACAGAACCCTCATGATAATCAGCCAAAAGTGAACACTCATGTTCACTTAACTTGTGCTTCCAGTAGCACAAAAGCTGACCGACAAATCGAACAGACTTTAATCCCAAACAGGCAGCAAGCTTAACAGGATCATCCAGCCGAGGTCCAGCCAGCTCCACCACCCTCCCAAGGCAATAAACTTTAGCAGTGTGGAGCAGTCTGGGGCAGGTTGTTGCCCCCCAAGTAGGACAATCCAACAAACTCCCAAACAGAACCGGTTCCTGAAGCAGCCAATGTAGAGACTCAGCCTGCTGCTGTCTGTCCTTCCTCAGCAAAGACCACACAGAGAAAATACTCTTATAAAAAACGGGAAGAAGAGTAGAATTAAAGTTGCTAGAGTCTATCAGAAAGAGAGGCAAGTCCAGACCCATGCCACCGAATCTCCGAAGAATGCAGCATGATATACTCCTCCACACTAGATCTGCAGGTCCTGTGAGCAGTCTCTGAATAAACTGAAAACGAAAAAGCAGCACCTCTGCCGGCCAGGTGGACCAGGCCTTGACCACCTTCTTCTCTCGTCAAAAACAGGATACTTTGAGGAATCCAGTGAAGTTTATCCCCAAAAAAATCTACCAAAACCCTTTGAACATTTGCTAGAAGAGAAACTGGAGTATCAACACACATTAACCGGCGCCACATGGTGGAAGAAACTAGGTTATTAATGACAAGAACTCGTCCTCTATATGACATTTTAGGTAAAATCCACTTCCACTTCAAAAGTCGACCCTTAACATTATCCAATACATTTTCCCAATTTTTTTGCACAAACGTTTCATTACCGAAGAACACACCTAAATATTTGAGGCCACCCTTTTTAACACTAAGCCTCCAGGCAGACTGAGTTGATCCCCCAACCGACTTCATACAGTTATAGCCTCACTTTTTCTCCAGTTTACTTTTGTAGAAGTAACATGACATGGGAAGAAGTAAATGTATCTGCAAGTCTTTAACTGTGCTTATTCTTTTCACCATCAACAACAAATCCTGTGGATTTGGTTATATTTACTCTTTATTTGCAAAAATTAAAGGAGGGGAACAGATTATTTCAGTCAATTGAAATATCCATTCTCTCCTCCTCCCATATCTTTAGGAAATAAAGAGCAACTGTTTCCAATTTCTCTAAAATTGATATGTGTGAAATGTTATACTAGAAATGTCCTTAATCCAGTAATCTGTCATGTTTTACATAACAAGGGGATTAACCAGAAATTCTACACTCTCATCTTCGCAGGACATCTTAATTTGTGTGCCCTGCTATCAGTTAGTTTCCATCCTCTTAAATCAGCAATGAAAATTAAAAATACACTACCTGTTGGAAATCTGTTTGGTGACTGACGTTTATTTCTGTCAGACTGAAGAGACAAAAGTTGGAGAAAAACCCACACAAAACAGCGTAAGAAGACCTGGTTAATGTATTTATTTTAAAAATTTGCAAAAAGAGCAACCTATTAAACTGTATGTTACAATGTTGATATGATTATATGAGCTGTTTTTACCGAAAAATGATCAGGAGCGCCTTGAAAATGGTCAGATCCACCTCTCTGGCTGCAATGCGCGCTCCCGACACAGGGGGACCTGATTTTCACAGGGAAACAGAATTTCGCACAAGACCTCGCACAAGACCGGCGTGAAGGTGTCATGAATGACCATGCCCCTTTCAACCAAATCATTCACTTTAGATGTGTTAAAAATCACAATCACTCCATTCATACGGGAAGCTACGGAAGAGGATTAGGGCCACTAAAAAAAAAAAAAATTAACAGATTTTTAAATTTTATTTCAGTTTAATATGGGAAAAAAGTCAGAATTCTGACTTTAATCTCAGAATTCTGACTTTTTCTCAGAATTCTGACTTTAATCTCAGAATTCTGACTTTTTTCTCAGAATTCTGACTTTTTTTACTAAGAATTCTGACTTTTTTCTCAGAATTCTGACAGCTAACAAACATGTTAGCATCAAGCCCTGTCTGTTTTAGAGACTAGCTCTCTTGTTTTAATGACCTTCTGCTCCTCCATTAGTTTTTTCTGAATGCTTAAGCTCTAATCATGATTCTTGTAGCACTTTTTCTAAAACTATTAATACGTATAACAAAACCACTCACTGAGTTTGCAAAACTAAAAGCACAAACATTGCATTGCACTCAGTTTGCAATTTTGTAACACACATTTTGCAAAACTGTAGGCACAATTCACTGCACAACACTCTATTACCACATTTCCAACACACTCCTAGCATATTATATACATGTATGGCTATCATTAACACTATTTTGCCAACTGTCTGGCACACTTTCACATGTGAAAAATGTTTTAGATAATTAGTTCACTTTGCAATCAGCCTAAGCACTATAAATAAGCCACAGGTAAGCTGTCTGTGTGGAGTACAATGGATGGAGCAGTAAGAGTGAGAAGAGTGAGAATCAGAGGAGGCCGAGGGAGAGAACGTGGAGTTGAAGAAGCAAGAGGGTTAGAGGAATTTACACTGTGGCAAGCATCATTAGGACATTGTGAAATGAGAATCGGTAAGTACTTTGTAGCACCGGCATGCTCTAATGAGAAACACAACAGTACCATACATGCAAAAATACTGATATTGTTACTTTACAGAATTGCTAGACGTCCAGGTGTTGGGGGCAGAGGAAGAATGTTCACTCCAGAGCAAGAGACCCATATAGTGAACATGGTGATTGCCAATAATGCAATAAGACTGCACGAAATACAGCAGCGCATAATTGATAATAAAACCATCTTTCAAAATATACACAGTGTAAGCATTTCTTCACTATGTCATGTACTTGCACGCCACAGAATAAGAATGAAGCAAATTTACAGAGTTCCTTTTGAGAGAAACGCAGAGCATGTAAAGCAACTGCGATATGACTATGTGCAGGTAAGCTATAGTGTCATTGGTTCTGAATTTGGAAGTGCATACTGTAGTGCTTTTCATGGACCTGATGTGATGCATTTGTTTTGTCTTGTCCAGAGAGTGATGGATCTAGAAGCAGATGCCATGGGACATGAGCTACTTTTTGTAGATGAAGCCGGTTTTAACCTCAGTAAAACCAGGAGACGTGGCAGGAACATTATTGGACACCGTGCCATCATCAATGTCCCAGGACAACGTGGTGGTAACATAACCATGTGTGCAGCTATAAGCCAAAATGGTGTTGTTCACCATCATGCAACCATAGGCCCATACAACACTGCACACATTATTGCATTCCTGGACACCTTACATGACATGCTCACTTTTCATAGACCAGAGCATACCCGATATTTCATCATATGGGACAATGTTAGTTTCCATAGGGCTGCCTTGGTCCGCAACTGGTTTACAGACCACCCATTCTTCATGGCACTCAACCTCCCTCCATACTGTCCATTCTTAAATCCCATCGAGGAGTTGTTCTCTGCCTGGCGCTGGAAAGTGTACGACCGTCATCCTCATCAACAGGTAGCCCTTTTACCGGCAATGGAGGAGGCATCTGGAGATATTGACCAAGCATCATGTCATTCCTGGATACGGCATTCAAGGAGATATTTTCCCCAGTGCCTTGGACTGGAGGATATCGCATGCGATGTGGACGAAATTTTGTGGCCGGACCCAGAAAGACGACATGAAGTAGGCTGATTGTTTTTTTGTTTTTTGTGAATTTACTATTTTGTGTTCTGACTTTGTCTTGGTTTTGATGAGTGTGAATAAACAGCAATACTTGAAATTTGGATCTTCTATGTTTACATGACACTATGACAAGAGTATGACCTCAAATTGACATCTGTACACAGAGAAAGAGAAAGCCAGATGTGTTTTGTATTCATACCATCAGTGTGTAGTTGGCACATTGTGTGCTTAGTAGATGATGGCTTGTGTTTACTGTTTGATACGAAAACAGCATTTTTACAAAGGTGTGAAGAGTTAATCTAGCTGTGTTCGCTTTTTCAAGAGAACTGCAATGTTTTGATTATTGGGTGAAAGGTTTTCTTATTTGTGTGTAGAGTTTTGCAAAAATAGCCAATAGTTACAAAAAATGTGCTTAAGCAATCAGAAAAAACTGTAATGAGGGGACCCCTCGGGCACGTAAAAAGTTGCCTAATTCACTGGCCACCTCAAACAACTCACATCTTTGTCAGTAAAGCTGAGTGCTCGCACATCTCTTCCTTCATGGTGCCCATCTACATTAAGATCCAAAATTCTGAGATTAAAGTCAGAATTCTGAGAAAAAAGACAGAATTGAGAAAAAAGTCAGAATTCTGAGATTAAAGTCAGAATTCTGAGAAAAAAGTCAGGATTGAGAAAAAAGTCAGAATTCTGAGATTAAAGTCAGAATTCTGAGAAAAAAGTCAGGATTGAGAAAAAAGTCAGAATTCTGAGATTAAAGTCAGAATTCTGAGAAAAAAGTCAGAATTCTGACTTTTTTCCCATGTTAAACTGAAATAAAATTTTAAAATCAGTTAACTTTTTTTTTTCCAGTGTCCCCAATCCTCTTCTGTAGGAAGTAGATTTTACGCTATCACAACCAACCAATCCTCCAACAGCTATGAGGGTGACACTCCTGTCTGAAGCTCCATGCACTCCGCGATTCACTCAGAGAGAGAGAAAGAGAAAGCATAGTTGGCCAGCCTCGTTGTCTCCTGATGGTCAGTGTTCAGACTATAACTAACTCCAGCAGTATGAACATGGATAAAATACTGCTGAGCTTCCCTTTGTTTTTATTTGTTCCCTTTTCCTCTCCAACTCCAGCTCAGGGTAAGCCGGTTCTTTTTTTCCAGAGATTCAATCTATCATATACTTCTAGGCTCCTTGGGGAATTCATTGATTTTGTTTTATAAGCGTTTTCAAAAATAATTTGTTTGTTTTACATTTTCAAATGCTGCCAATTTCTCAGCTTATATTAAGGTGAGTTGGTAGTGCTTTTTTTTTTTCTTTTGCTGTAAATTTTCCATCGCTTGCTGCTGAAAAAAAATGTTTTTACTGTGAAATTGAGAAAAAAATAATAATTATTTATTCAATTTTTGGGAAAACTATCTGGTCAAAATAAGACAATTATTTCTGTTATTCAATTTTGTTACAAATATTTCGATTTGTATGTAGCTCCTAAAGGATTAATGAAAAAATAAAGGTAAAAATCCAATGCACAAGAGCACAAGATCAGCTAAATACGAGATAGTTATTTGGTCTTTTGTTGTGAAATATCTTATGCAAAAGAGAACCTTTATTTTATTTGTTATCCTTTACTTTCCCTTTTTCCTTTAAAGTTCCTTAAGGGGCTTTGTTGTTTACCTATGTGTAAAAAAAATAAATAAATATCTACACCTAATAATATTTTATTTCCTAGTCAGGTGGAGATATCAGTGATAAGGGCACTGCTAAGCAAGCAGTGTGAGTGAGAAAACACCTGAAGTAAAGAGTAGTACAGGACCATAAGTTTCCTCTGACCAAACGGGACAAAATACAGTCCATCCTAAACAGCCACAATCAAAACAGTAGACAGGAAGAGCTGACACTGTTCTGTCTGTCTCACCTGTCTCATCTGTACCGTTTTATGACTCCAATTGAACAAACTGAAAAGTTGATAAACTCTATCAAATTGAAATAAAGACTGTTTTAGTGTAAGTCATTAGATATATATATGATGTGATGATTGGAATTCATCATTCATATTGTTCAATAAAACAATATTTAACATGAAAAATGCATTTACAATACATCAAGTGTGATATATTCTAACCCACTTCTGTCGAGCCCTGACATTATCAAAGTAATTTACGAGGTCCAACAATAGAAATGGCCCACACCCACCTTAGGCATAACTGTAACGGGGTAGCAAGGCTAACATTAGCCAAACTGTTGGCCAATGTTAATTCACAAGAACGTTTGTAATTAGGAAATGAAAGTTATGTTTGACCAACTCGCTTCATATTACCGATTCTTTGTTAATCCTAAAGGCAAATCGTACTCGTACTCGTCGTCTCCCGCTTTATCCAGAACTGGGTCGCGGGGGCAGCAGACTAAGCAGAGACTCCCAGACTTCCCTCTCCGCAGACACCTCCTCCAGCTCTGCTGGGGGAAGCCCTAGGCGCTCCCAGGCCAGCTGAGAGACGTAGTCTCTCCAGCGTGTCCTGGGTCGTCCCCTGGGCCTCCTCCCAGTGGGACGTGCCTGGAACACCTCCCGAGGGAGGCGTCCAGGGGGCATCCGAAAAAGATGTCCGAGCCACCTCAACTGACTCCTCTCGATGTGGAGGAGAACCGGCTCTACACTGAGCCTCTCCCGAATGACCGAGCTCCTCACCTAAAGGCAAATCATTTAAATTAAACTTGTAAATGTAATTGTGCAATATTAGCCTCAGTATGAACCACAGTCTCTGCCTCCGATTGGCTGACTGGTTGTCATGTCTACAGTCAACCAATGTAATCACTAAAGGCAGTGGATACTAGCCAATTGGAAGTAGACTAGTGCACACGATGCCTTCACCAGCCTAGGAAAAAAATGGGAAATTTTTCTTGGAGATTCTGCTTAATTGTGCGTATCATGGGGATTTATAAGTGGGTCTACACTATGCTGATTGGAAAATTAGTGGTTATATGCCATATTCCCTCGTACACACAAGTGTTGCACCGATACTGATACCAGTATCGGACAGGGCCCTGATCCAGCACTAAAATGGTGGTATTTGTATCGGTGAGTACCAACAAATAGGGCACAATAAAATTTTGAGAGCTAAGAGTTTATTCAACTATTGTCACCCATTCCTGGTAGGCAATAGAAAGTTCTACTGGATTCACTTTGTATTAGTCTATTTCCTGCTTCACAAAGGTAGGCAGCAGCTTGACAAAGCCATGATGGCAATTATTTCACATCCAAGTACTATGCAGTTCTTCATATATACACACGCACATCAGTTTCAAACAGATGGTATCGGTATCGGCCAATACTGCACAGCCAGGTAGCGGTATCAGGGCCAAAAAAATGGCATCGGCGCAGCACTAGTACACACTTGACTACACCACTGGATTCAATGCAACGTGCTCATTTAGAAAAACAAGGATTCTGGAATCACAAGACAAATATCTGTTGCAGTGTGAAACACCTCTAAGGTCACATGCCATAAGAAACATAAGAAACTCAGGCCAGCAGAATGCCTGAGAAGAGGTGAGATTGGCAAAGCTTTGGCAGATGGTATCAGCCGCTAAAATTACTTGATGTTGAAGCAAACACCCACTGAACAAATTATGACTGGTAACTTAACAAATGGCCTAACTAAAGTTGTACTACTTAAAAAATATATATAGTCAGAGTTAAATGAGAGTACAGAGCTTCATGATGACATTATGCTTGAATTCATGTTAACTCAAAAACTAAAGCTCTCTAGCTCTCTAACATCATCAGTTACTTTTAGCACCTTGAAATCCATTTGAATTACACCTCTTTACAGATGTCAGATGAATGATTTTGATGCATTTTAAGCATTCATCACCTCTTAATCTCCACCTTGATGCACCAGGTAGCATTGTTCAGATACTCCCTGAACAAGAGACACAAGTTCTGTATTACACTTTAGTTTTGCGGGCATGGCGAAAGAAAACACCTCCTTTGCCTGGCACAGAAATTGATCATATTACTCTTGTATTACTTCAAGTTTCCACTGGATAATTGAATCAAATGGAAAATGTCAGAAATTGAAAAAATAAATTCCAGAAGTTAAGACAGACTACAATTTGCCTTTAAATAACAGAGTGCTTATAGCTTTTTGGTAATTAAAAGGCGCTTTCTATATATCTGAACTTGAATAATACTTAAAAACAAGGCCTAAAATGTTTTTAAATAGGTTTAGATCTAAAGAAAAAAATGTCTGCCATAGGGTATTGACAGAACAAACACTCTACATCACATATATGTATAGTTAATACAGGAGACCCAATACACTTATTTCATTTTCTATGCCAACATTGCAGCTTGGACTAATGACTGATAGCGATAATGAGCTGATATATTATCAACAGGAATTATACTTTTAATAGTTATTTGTAATGAGGAATGTCAGAAAATATATTTATCAAGTAATATTGCTCAAACAGACATAACAGTCAGCAACAATGGGTTTGAGCACTGAGTCACTGTGTAGCAACCTGAAAAACAGAGGACCCGAAATTTCAGCCAGACTCAACAAGACAGATTTAAAGGTTTTATGTAATCTCCATGCAGCGAATGCCAGGCAACCTACAGCAAAGGAATTAGGAATCTCTGAAGGCAGAGAGATTTCTTAGTGACTGAATAAGAAGGGGTAGAACTTTGACTTTTTACAGGAGTTTCTAAAGGAGAGGCAAGAACCAGAAACCAGAACTAGGGTCAGAATCGTGGAGACAGATTTGGATTTATGGATCCAGGGGTGAACCAAGAGGCAGAAGTCCAGAGGCAGGAACTTGGTCATTTTCCAGAGATCCGAAAGCTCAGAGTTGAGGGCAGAGCAGATACAAGGAATCCATGAGGCAGAATACAGGCCGTGATGAGGCAGGCAGACAAAGAATGATTGCTAGACATCTTCTAACATAAGGCTTTTCAATATTCTGGCAATAGTAACAGATATAAAGGCTAGTTAGATAGGCTGTGATGCAGGTGACAAGCATGAGTGCAGATGAGGGAAGGGGTGGAGCAGCACAGGTGGAACAGATGAGTGACGATGATGGCAGGAGCAGAGCTGAATAAATACAAACCAGTTACTATGCCAGAAACATAACACATTAACCAATAAACCGATGGGTTACATAGACTTTAAATAAATATCCAGGTCCAGTTATGTATTAGATTGATAGCAAGAATGTAAGGTAATCTAACTAATATCCTTATTGTCTTAAGAAAGCTAATTGGATGGGAAAGGTATAGATTGATAAAAGTAATCAACAGATATGAATATGTTAATGGAGCTCAGATGATTTAATCTGGTATCACAGGACATTAACCTTTCAAACTTTTTATATCTAAATAAATGTTACATGTTGGAATTTGGATGATCACAACATCAGAATGAAAGTTTGAATTCATCTTTGAAGGAGGTGTAATTCTATGAAAGACTTTATTTTTATTTTATCAGCAAAATAAAATTTTTGTGCTCCATTGATAGGTCATTATAAGGTGACAAGCTCCCATCAGCCAATTGTTGCTGCTCCAGGTGAAAACGTCACCCTCCTGTGCCAGGTGGAGCCTCGGTTTGACATGGTGGACATGACAGTGGAGTGGTCAAAGCCTAAAGGAAATGGATATGTGCATCTTTACAGAGACAACCGTGAGGTTCCAGACATGAAGATCTTATCCTATAAGGGCAGGACGGCGCTGTTGACTGACAGCCTAAGAAATGGCGACATAGCACTCACCATCACCAATGTGACGGCTGCAGATGAGGGCCAATACAAATGCTTCATACCAAAGTTAAATGGACAGATCAAATCTTCTATTGTTCACCTTGTTATTGGTGAGTCATGAGATTGCTGTATCCACATTATTCCTAGTAGTGTTGCTATTGTCAAAAAAGAAGTTAAATTCGATGATTTGTGAAGGGCAGTTGATTGTAAATCTCATGTCATTTGCTTGCATAGCAGACAAAATTCTGCTTTTTGGTCTGTTTTTAAAATGTTTTACCTCAGATTATCAAGGTTTGGTCAAAGAGTCATTATAAATGTTAAAAGCTTTATATAATCTCCTATAGTGCTCTGTGTTACAGTGGATCTGAAGAAGCCTCTGACTTAAAACATTCTGATGTTCTATTTAGCAAAGGATTTTCATGCTTATTTTTATTATACACTTTAGGCAACAGTTTCTTGCACAATCAGTGCAACGATTTAAGATTGCAGTTTTATGAATTACACACTCAGGTCCCACAATCCCTACAGATAATTTCAAGACACTGAACCTTCCACTACAGACTTTTAGGAGATATTCTCTAAGGTGTTTCTCCACTTCTTCTACTATGAAAGATACTATTTACTATATTCCTGTTTTATTGAGGTAACATTAAGATAAGTTTATTGTTTTAACACCACAAAGCTCTCTGTGCTCAACCTCTTGTCCATCTATTCTGCATCTCTGCAGCAGCTGTAGAGTCATCAATGCATTTCTGCAGACAGAGGAGGTCTGTCTAACTGAAAAAAATTTGAGCAATGCGGCAAACTGAGCTGCTGACTACTTATCCGTATAAGTACCTTTTTACTCTTACACAGGGTTTTCTGTTTGTAAATTAGTTTTCGATCGGTTTGATTCTGGAGGGATTCCCTCTCTGTTTTTTGGAGCTTCTGCCAGTGAGTCTTACTGAAATATATATACTGCCCCATTGAACTGTTTAGGTTATAAACAATTTATGGGGAGGTATGCATAAAATGCAGGAAGGTCTATAATTTCCTTTCTCTTTTCAGATATAAACCCATCTAAAAAAGTTACCACAGAGATACCAATAAGTCTTCCTAGAACAGGACCAGATGATCTTCACGGTGAGAATGTGGCTGCTGACGCATCCTGTCATCAACAACCATCTTCGCTTTAGTTTGCTGTGGAGTTCTTTAGATTTTTGCATAACTTACTTCTTTTCTGCCTTGCTTTTTAACAGAAGGTGACAACAATCATGTACTAGATCTCTATTACCATATTTTCACGACCATAAGGCGCACCGTACTAAAAGGTGCAGTCTCAGTTATGTGTGCCATTTCTGTATTTAACACACACATAAGGCGCACCGGACTATAGGGCGCGTTTTTTATATACAGGTACCTGTCCTCTACTACGTTAAAATACCTCTACTGCGTATTTAAAAATGGAGCGGGAGCAAAACTGAGTATGAATGTGCTTTATTCATGTATTTATTACAAATTATTAATCAAACCTGGGAGCTGGCCTTGAGATAGACACATCGCTCTGATGACACAGAGCGCTGTGATCACTCCTCTGAAACAGTTTATTGACGCATAAATTAACTTAAAATGCAGTAATCTGCCAGCAGAATATGTTCGCTTTTATTATCCTGGTGCCTGCACCGTGAGGAGGCGACCCGGCCAGAGGCTGCTGTTGAAGGGATTCCTACTGTCGGCGCACCGTTGGTATGTGGGGGTCTGAGCGCCTCCGACAGAAATAATATTAGAAGGCAGGATGATAATCTGGATGAACTGACTGCAATGATTATGTTTTCAGGTGGACTTTCTCACTTAAAAACATATTAAAACTACTTTATTCCCACTGATCACAGGAAATATAGCTGCAAGGTGTATTTAATACAAAGTATTAATCAAACCTGGGAGCTGGCCGTGAGACAGACACATCGCTGATGACACAGAGCGCTATGATCACTCCTCTGAAACAGTTTATTGACGCATAAATTAACCTAAAATGCAGAAATCTGCTGGCAGAATATGTTCGCTTTTATTATCCTGGTGCCTGCAGTTTACCAGTTAGTTCTGACGCGCGGCTGAAGCAGCTTTGCTGCTCTGCCTTTGCTGTGCAAAAGTGTGTCTGACGCCCGTTGGGCGGAGCTATCCTATCCTTTCTTTGCCTTGCAGCTATATTTGCTGTGATCACAGCACTCTGTATATGTGTATCATCAGCGATGTGTCTGTCTCGATGTCAGCTCCCAGATCAGCTTCTCTGATTGGTTGATGCGGCGCGTCCAGCAGCAAAACTTCAATTTTTCCATCTCGAGCAGCAGCAGCGGGTTGGCGGCGCGTCAGATGCTTAAACGCTCCCGATGCGCCGCGCCTGCTGCTCAAAACGCGCTGTAGGACCTTTTGCTGCGCCTATACGCGCATCAACCATTGACTTTGCATGTAAACTCGCTGCTTCTGCTGCGTCTGCTGCGTCCGGTTCACACCGATGTCAAGCGGTTGAATAACAGCAAGCAAAGCGTTCATTTGTTTCCCCATGTTTTTCACATCAGCTGTGAGATGGGCACGCATGGAGTCACAGATTAACAGCAATGGTGATGAGTGGAAAAAAACACCTGGTCTCCTTACATTCACCTCCCTCAGCATCATCTCCTCAATGAGGAGATGAGGAGTTCTGCATAAAGCACATACCTGTTCTTTTATACACAATCCACGCCCACACTTCCCCCTTTAAGGTTCTCATGGTGGTCTCAAAAGTCCGCAGTAACAACATACATAGGGCGCACCGCACCAAAGGGCGCGCCGCACATTTTGAGGGAAAAAAAAGACGTTTATATGCGCCTTATAGTCGTGAAAATACGCTAGATTTGAGTGATGATCGTTTTTAGGTAATAAATTGTCTTACTGGATTGGCTTTGATGCAAATGCATGTATCATTTCATTTCTCTATATAAACTTTGACTAAGGCTTGTGAATGTTTTATGATTGGATTTTTTTATCAGAGCTGCTTTGTTTTTTCTATGTTGTCATTTAGTTCATTTATATTGTTTTTGCACTGTTTTCCTAACCTTGCGCTGTAAGCTGGATTGTCGTGAGATTTGAGTTTTCAGTCTCACAACAAATCCATCTTGAAGGACTCCGGCTAATATGTTCGTCTCGTAACAACCAGCAGGTCCGACCAATCACATGCCAGCAGTGGTTTTGTAGGAAAGACGACAGTCAGAAGTGCCTCGCCGACGCATTGCAAACATGGCTACGCTGGAGGACTCACCTGTCGATACCGCAATTGACTCTGTAGCAAATTCCTCGTTTTAAAAAAAAGAGCAAAGAGAAGCATTTTGTGCATTTGTAGATGAGAACGATTTCTTTGCTTTTCTTCCGACAAGATTTGGAAAAAAATGTATTTATCATCTTACTCTGCTATTTGTGAAAACACTCAAGAAGCTGCAGATGAATCACACTGCTACGATTGGTTGAGAAGGCGGGTACTAGCTGGGCATCACCCAATCAGCTCGAAGTATTGTACCAAACTTCCCTCCTTTTCGTGGACAGCCTGAACGGCAGCCATCCCAGATTGAAAACATAGAACTCAACTCAGTTCTGCACATATCAACATATCTGTTTTCCAGTCTAAAGAACAACTTTCTGTTTTTTTGTGTCTTTCTTCTTGTTTCATGTCAGGTGGTGCTTCCAGTCCCAACAGATTTACCCCACTTCTGCTTTTCTGGATTTTGCTGATCTTCAGTGCTTGAATCGCAGGATACTTACTCGTTATGTTCAGGTGCATGTGTTATGTTCAAATAATTAAAAATAGTAAAATGTATATATTTTTCGGTATTAGTAATGGAAAGATAAAGTTGAAATTAGGACGTGTAAGATCCCTCTGTACAAATTAAATGTTGAAAACTGGGATTAATAAGAAAGAGGTTCAGATAGTGCAGATTAAAGCTAAAGCACTGATTAAATCTAAAGCACTGATTATTATTTTTTTATTATTATAAAATTATAATAAAAAAAACTAACTTGATCTTTTAATTTTAGCATTTAAATCTTAGGGATTTCATGCTTTTCATCTCAAATAAAAAAACAACATAAATATGTTGTCAGCAATTTGGTGAGGAAACAAAATAAACACAAAATAAAATCCTATTATAAACCTGTATTTTTAAAGCTGTAGCTCCTATGAGTAAGTCCCTTATAAATACATTTAACCTGTCTGACTTAAAGGGGAACACATCATGTTCTACTCACCCATATTAGTTTTTTTGTAATTTGGAGCTGGATCCGCGGTTATATTTTTTATATTTATATATTTTTTTAAACAAAGCGGAGTGTGTATGACGTCATCCGAGTGCCGGACTAGAGTTGTGGCAAAACTGGGACATAATGGGCTAGGTCAGAAGGCCCAGCAGGTCCTGTTCTGGGGTGGGCTCAGTTAAAACAAAAGGGTTAGAGAACTCAAAAAACGGATGCTACCATGTGTCACCACTCGATCCGTCCAGAAAGCGCGATTATTACCATCAGCTCATTGGCGCATGCGCAACCTGATCTACCCCCAGGTGTCCATAAATATTGTCGATGATGGAAATACTGGAGAAATTGAAGAACCAAAGACTTGGGAACCACCAACTGATATTTCATGCCATCTTTTAGTGGGGTTTTCCTATACCAGAGATCGTGGACTTTGTGAAAGAGGATCCTGTCAGGCCTCTGGTATCTTTCCTGAACCATCTCCATGGAGCCTGAGTGTTTTTCCTGCTCTTCCTTGATTTCTGCTATTGATAGGGGTAAACCTAACAAGGCATTAGCAGAATTGCGGATGACGTCATACACACTCCACTTTGTAAAAAAAAATATAAATATCAAAAATATAACCGCTGATGTCTGGGGGACAGTGATTCGCCTACATGTTATGAATGCTGGCGTTCCATAACAAATAAGTTATGAACAGTTTAGTTTGTGCCTTCAACTCGTTGCCCATAGGAAGAAGTTACTTGGATATAACCTAAAGGAATATGTTCAGATCAGCTCCAAATGACACAAAACTAATAAGGGTGAATAGAACGTGATGTAATAACGTAAAATCAAGGTGCCAATGTAAAAAAAAAAAAAAACGATGTTCCCCTTTAATTGGTTTTACTTTGTTTTCATTAAGACACCTAAGCTGCTTTTTTCCCCCACCTTTTATTGTCATTACACCGACACAAGTACAGAGCAACGAAATTAACTCTCTGGATTTAACCATTCCCTTTGGGGAGCAATGTGAAAAATAGCTGATCCCAGGCTGTTCTCTACATCCAGTCCGTTCCTCTGCTGTTTGGATGTGTGTCAAAGCTGAAGGTGAATTCAAACATATAAGAAAAAACTTAAATTTAATTGATAAAAGCTTGTTAGATTTTTCTATTGTGTCCTCACAAAGCAAAACAGATTCCAGCCCAATTTTATTTTACTACCTAAGAAATGACATATTTTCATGTGCTCCTTGCAACGCACTCACAGACCCCTAGTGGTACCCATAACCCCTTTTGGGAAACACTGCTGTAGAGCAACATTTATGTATCATATGGACTGATATTGAGATAAACCTCAGTATTGTGATATGAGAAGTATGTTAATATTTTCTAAGAGGTTGTAGCAGAAATAAAAAAAAAAACAGTTATTTTCAGTTTACCGAATAGCCTCTTCAAAGGAAACCTTTGTTTAACTTAAAAGCAGAGCAACAAAGATGGAGTTTTGCATCTTCCTATGATTGTTTTGTGGTTTCTGTTATGTGTTTTTTGAGCCTTTGGTCTTGTGTCTTGTAACCACTGGCAATTAACGCAGCCCATATGATGTGTCTTCAAATAATATGCACAGGATGAGTCCATGAAATAATTTCACTTTATTAATTTTTTTTCCTTTCTAAAAAATACCTTATAAATGCACTGCACTTTATACAGCTTTCTCTCTTTCAAAACACGGTCTGGGCCCATGGTGTAATCACGCGGCGTTTGCATCACTTGTTTGGAATGTGTGTTTATTTCTCAACTTTTGAAACAATTCAGATCAAGTTAATCAAGGTGTCATGAGACGGAGGACATTATATCCCATGATTCTGATTGTTAAATAAAAACTGCTGAGGATACTTTTCATTATCTTCTAAATATATTTTTGTATTATTATTATTTTTCATTACCCATATTAATCAATGTATGACTTATAGTGGGAGTTCACCATGCTTTTGCTGCCAGAAATATTCCTGCAATAAAATCTTTCTAATGACTTTTCTCTTCTGCAAGTTTCATTTATGCCACCTACATGTCTGAAATAAAAGTCAAAAGTACAGACTTCACTGCAAAAAATAGAAATCTCAATAAGTTATTTTTTCTTAAAATAAGTGTGTTTTTCCTTGATTTGAGGAGGTAAGTAAGACACTTTGCCAATGGAACAAGACAATTTCCTTTTAAAATAAGAAAAAACTATTTTATCGTCTTATTTCAAGTAAATATTATCTAACTATCTTATTTTAAGAGTAGAAATACTCATTCCATTGGCAAATCATCTTATTTACCTGCTCAAATTAAGGCTAAATATACTTAATTTAAGCCATTTTTTACTGATTTCTGGATTGTTTTTGCAGTGGTGTTTTTGCCTCACAGTATTTCTCTTTTTTTGTAAGGTAAAGGAGTGTATATCTAATTTAATAGGCAGATCTATATTTTTCTTGTTTCTGCTAGTTGTGTTTCATGTATTATCCAAAACTGTCTCATATGAACAAAGAAGTTAAATTGTTCATCCCTGCCCCTGTACACAACTTACATCCCTACTGCCCCTCATCTTTACACTCATCTATTGCATTAATGAAACTGAGAGGTTGAGCAATGTCTTTAACTCAGTAGCAACTATTCTGAAAACTACCAATCAACATAAAGCTCATTGAGCAAAAGTAGACCACTTAAAATAAACCTTATAGTGGGGACTTAATTTTAAAAAGAACTACATAAATAATTAAGTAAATCAAAGATTTTGCAAAAAATTTGGAGAAGAAGTTGGTATGATGGACAGGGGGAAATAATTGCAAAATAAAATGAATCAAATGAGTGTATAAAGGTGTCAGGCTCCATAATAAATCTATTATTCACCATTTAGATTAAAAGACTGAAACTTTCCGTTGTTTTGCATAATGTACATATTTTAGTAACCAGAATAGAAACTCTTTCGATCTCATGTATTTTAATGAAGTAAAAACAGAAGCATAGGATGTTCTTTTTTCCCTAAAATAAAGCTTTATCTATGTTCTATAATCTGTTGTAGTTTTTTTTTTCTTAATCTATTTTTTATCGATGGTTATGTTATCTTTCTAGGATATATATATATATATATATATATATATATATATATATATATATATATATATATATATATATATATATACAGGATCAAGCTCACTCAGTCCGTTTTGCAAGCATTCTTAGTGCATTATAAGGCCTTCTGCTTTTTTTTTTTTATACAAACCAAAAAATTCCTTGGGGAGTGATAATGTTGCCACGTGGCCAGATCTATGGACGTAAGTGATGAATCTCAAGGCTTTTGACCAACAGGAAATAAAATGTTTCTAATACGTCTCAGAGGTCATGAGATCTGAAACTCTGAAGGTGAAGTTAAGCTGCTTGGATCCAAAGCTTGTGAGTTTCTTTTTTTCTCCAAATCTCACCTTTATGGAAGAGTCGAAGAAGAAAACCACTGATGAAGAGAAGGAATAAAAAAATCCTGTTTAATATTTGACACAGCAAACAGGCGAAAAAAGTTTTTGGATAAGGAGACATCAAAAATCTCCCACCCTGAGTGTGCAGCCGCCGCGGTGAAGTATGGTACCATCATGCTGCTGGGAATCTTTTCATCTTCAGGGAAATGATGACCAGAGCTGATGGAAAGATGGACAGAGCTGCAGTTTAGACCAAAAATTATTAGAAGACACCTTCCATTCTCATTCTCCATTCACCTTGAAGTTGATTGTTAAACAATGATTGGTCAGATACCAGTAGAGATATGAAAACATTTTAAAAGCTATAATTCTAGGAAAGATTTTCAGTTGATTATGGAGAAGGGGTATATTGTTTCAAAATGTGCTGTTTTGGTAAAATATAGTTAAAAGCAGATATGTTTAAAAAGACTATACCCCTTTTTATATTGTCTTATAATTCCATGGAATATGCCTGTCATGTTTCCCAGCAGAGATAAACTTTGTATTTCAGCAAGACTATAGCCTATTGGAATAAAAACCTGCCAAGGATATTACTATTTAGGGACTTAACTGTAATTCTAACCTGTTATTCAGAAGAAGTGTAAACCCCCTGTTATGTTAATTTGTTTTAACAACAACAATAATTAAATAACCCTTAATAATATGTTATTTAACCTGTTAAGTTAAATAAATAATAAGGTAGGGTGACCAAACGTCCGTATTTCCCGGGACATATCCGTATTTCACGACCTGTCCCGGGCGTCCCGGGTTTTTTTTAGAAAGTGAGGAAATGTCCTGATTTCACTGCGCACGACGCTCCGTGTGACGTAATCCCTAAGCCGCCTCAGTGCGGGCAGCCCTGTTCTTAATCAGAGGCTCTGTTCGAAAACTAGTCTACCTAGACTGGATCCTTCCAAGTACTTGAAAATAAGGAGGCCAGAAAAGTTTTGTCTGTAAATTCGACCAGGTCTACCCTTCGGCGGGTTTTACCGGCGTATGCTCTGTTGCTTAGCAACCGTGAAAGTTGACACACAAAGCAGGAAAAGAATGAATACCGAGGTTTTCAAAAATGTTTATTTATTCTTAAAAAAATTAAAGCGAACAAAGACTACAATCACAAGAATCCAGAGTGGAATAAAGATTCCAACCAGCGGGAGCAGGAACAAATAAAATCAAATGTAATGATAGAAACCTTAGTCAGTTAAATAACATGCTGCTGGCATTTTGCACATCTCTGATGTTGCTGCTATTTTCAAATATCCATTACTGTAAAAATGTCCATAGCTGCATATTGGTTATTAATTCTCCAGTTTTATATTGTTAAAACACTTTACAGTATTTTATTGTTTATATTTTAAGTCTTCCCTATTATGTTATTCTTATAATTTTTTCTAAGGTCCTCATTTGTGTGACTATTTTCAATAATCTTTCTGCTGCTGTAAATTTGCCCATTGTGGAACAATAAAGGGATTTTCTATACTATAAAAGGGTTAGAAATACATAAGTAAATCTAAACAGGTATGTATAAAAATATATCTGCAAAATCTCTAATATTCAACAACAAAAAATACTTAGTTAAGCATATTGTGCAAAACAACAATAAAAAAATTAAACTCCTATCAGATTTAGTCCCCACGCTGCAGATATATTAGAATCTGTCCTTAAATTACAGCCAAACTCTGTTTTTATCAGACAGGCCCCTACACTCAGCTCCTTTAAAACCCTTTTAAAGACCCACTTTTTCTCTCAGGCCTTTGAGTGAGACTTCGACTTTTTTTTGCTCTTATTGTTTTTTTTTAATCTTTGAGTTTGTCCTGTGTTGTGGTGATAATTGTGTTTTATAATCTGCTCAAATGACCTGTACAGCGCTTTGATTTTAGCTTTGGCTGACTGAAAGCGCTTTATAAATAAAGTTGAGTTGAGTTGAGTTGAATTTACACAATGACAGATAAAAACCTCTAGATAAATCAAACACTACCGCCACATATCTGACTCAATAACCATTAAAACAACTATTTTCATTCATTTCAGACGGAACTATTCACAGAGTTGTATTATATTAAGATGAACTTCCAATTTTCACCACTGTTCTGCGCCAAGTAACATTTCCTCTGATCACGGAGCAAATCCCGATGATGAGACATTTGTTCTTTCAATCAACCCCCCACACCCTAACCCCCCACCCCCACCCCCCACCCCCGCTCCAAGGTGTCCTGGTTTTCCCAAATGAAAATATGGTCACCCTATAATAAGGGGTTTTGCACAAAATATATTTTTCCCCTCAGAACAATATAACTTACATAATACAGGCTCTTGAAAGTTATCAAGGCAATAGAAGGACTTCACCTACAGATAGGACTCCTTTTCTAAGAGATACAGTATTACTTTTGCTTTCCTTACTTTGAACGGTCTGGGTTTTTTTTTTTTTCTTCAAGTGATTACGTATAATGATTCTAAACATAAAGGTGGTTATAAAAACATCTGAAAATACAGTTGAGTAACGTTTTTTTTCTTTACTTCAGTAAGTATGGGATTCAAAATGTTCCTCGGAAAGACTTTCCTATATCATCTGAAGAAAAAGTGAAACGAAAATATTTGAAAGGCTAAACGAGTGGGAAATATTTTTTTTTTAAAGGGAGAAGAATCAGATATAAATGTTAACATAGGGTAAAGACTTTTATTTTAGAATTATTCTCAATTGAAGGCCTTATTTGTTATATTACCAATAATAAACAATGGCTTTTCTCTATGCTTTTGTTCTTATTTTTCATTGACATTTGATCATAAATAAATATACAAATAAATCATTAATTTACTCTACTAAACATTAAAGAGAAATGTATGGAAGAGGATTAGGGCCACTGGAAAAAAAAACAACAACAGATTTTTACATTTTGTTTCAGTTTAGTATGGGAATAAAGTCAGAATTCTGAGATTAAAGTCAGAATTCTGATAATAAAGTCATAATTATAAATTAACCAGTTTTATAAATTAACCAGATGATGGCGGTATTGCAAATATTGTTTTTCCCCTCCAACCGCCATGAACAAGAAACGAGACGTCATATCCTGTAGACGCGGGTAGTTGGGAGGAAAGAAAAAAAAAACAAAACACAACATTTAGTAATGAACCGGAGCCTTAAACCTGAGCTCTCCTACAAATTAACATGTGTAGCATTCAGATTAGACGGTGAAGTCACCGCCAGGGTCGACGAAGCATCAGTAGCTAGCTAGCCGACCGGCCCTGTTGTCCACCATGAATTTAAGAGGACTCTTTCAGGACTTCAATCCCAGGTAACGTTAGCAGGGAGCTAGCTTCAGCTAGCTGTTAGCTTCGGCTGTTTTTACTTGGAAAACACCAATAACGTATGCGTTGTAGTTATTTGAGGGCAAAACACTTTGTGTTGTGTTTATTTAGACATTTTTGGCACAAAAAATTGTGTGAAAAAAGTTGTCTAACGTACATTACATGAGTCCGGCTTGGAAAGGCCCAGCTAGCATGCTAATGTAAACAACGTAAAACGTAATTGTTACTCTGTGAGCAATTTGAACTCTAACTCTCCCTTAACCTTAAAAAAAAAAAATCGTTTTTACGTTAAATTGACATCTGTTTGTTGCGTTTACACAATGACATAGAGGCAGTGTTTGTAATGAGCTGAAGTGCGAAAAATTATAAAAGTGATTTATGACGTGTTACATTCATTGATGCATGTAAAAGGTTGCGACTTGAACTCTTTAAATGCCTGATCAACGAAATGAGCATTAGCTCAGAAAAAATGCAGGCTGGAGGTTGACAAGGCTGCCAAACAGTTACAGTAAGAAAAAATATTGGGTTCAAAAAAGTGTGTTCTTGCATGAATTTTATATATATATAAAAAAATCATGGTTATTTTTTTTAGTTATAGTTGTTACCCAGGCTTATTAATTGTTTTGTAAAGGATCCTCTAAAGGTTTCTTAATGCAGAACATATTTTTACACCTTATTATCTGTTTCCGCCTTAAAAATATTAGAGTTCTGAATAGAAGATAAAGCAGATTTCCTATGTTTGAAAACTAGATTTAACCTGTTGAATTAAGCGGCTGTACACATATTAAATCACTTGAGTTTTTTAATATTGATACTGGAAAATGTGAACTTACTGAATGGATTAGAAATTGTACTCATATTCAAATACAAACATCAGCAATAAGCGCTGACTATACCTTCTTTCTTGATGAAAAACAATGTATCTTTAATACTATTTTATTTTGATGAATTAGGGAAACTTTGTATGAAAATAAAATACTTCCGTTAAGAGACATATCGGCTCGTATTTCAGTCTTTGCTTTGCTAAAAGATTTATATAAAAAATTGGTTTAAGGTAGGCTGTAACAATTAATGGATTATTGAAATAATGGTCAACTAATGTAGTGATCAATTTATTGTGAACTGGAGCGTAGAGACTAAAATATGCTTTTAGCTGACAGACTCATCTTGAGCAGCAGTTATAACAAATTTATGCAGCAATAGTAAGGAGTTTCACCTGGTTTAATTTCGTAAAAAGTTTTCTTTAAGGACGCGTTTGCTATCTGATTATTAATCGCTTAATCATAAAAATTGTTGACAAATTAATCGATTTAGCAAAATAATTGTCAGTTGCAGCCCTATGATCAGCATTGATCTTCAACTCTTCAGAAGTTTTAAATGAAAGCGATAACAACAATTGAGATACAAGCTTTTAGAAATGTTATGTTTCTCATGAAACATTTTCTGTATCGTCTGCTTAACTGAGATTGGGTCATGTCACTGAACTGGAACTTGGAGAAACGCAGTCTTGCTCAGCCATGTGTATCTCAGTGCTTTATTAAGCTCTATTGATATCCCACTTTCATAACACAAAGGCGTTGCCAACCTCTGTTACAGATAACTTTGCCTTTTTAGAGGACTGAGATATGTCTAAACTTAAACAGACATTGTCGGGATGATGCAATGATTTTTAATGCCTTATGAAGCAGTGAACCACTTTGACACAACTGGCCAAAATGTAACACATTGGCTCGGTACCAGGTTTGAAGGATGACATCTGCTGGATTGCTTTACTAACTAGCTTAGAGCTTATCCTGACTAATGTCCACCTTTATGTCTGAATTGGTTTGTTCTATAATAATGGTAATAAATGCTTGGGTTGTGTCCATTTTAATTTGAGAAATGGCCCCAATGATGTATATGTAACGGCTATTGAAGCCGTTCTGAGGTATATGCAGACCTATTACCTCAAACTATAATCTTGTGCTTTTATAAAGAGGTTTTGGACAAAAAAAACACTGGAAAGGTTTGTGCTTTTGCAAGTGCTGCATCTGACTTTCTGTCTTTCACAAAAATGGTAGACAACTTAAGTATTTGTCCTCTATCTAATAAGAGTATCCACAATGTGTATCCCCTACAACTAAACAGACTAACCTTATATTGCATGAGAGACAGAGAAATACCCTGTGGTATCATCATCTTTACTGTGGGTTCTGGGTGTCCTATAAAGCCCCAGCATGTGGTGATTCCTAGAGTGGTTCAGGGTTTGAACCTCACGCCATGTAAGGGTGCTTATGACACAGTTTTTTGTTGGTAGGGAGGGTGCATGGTCTGTGGTCGATGCATCTGTCACACCGGGGGACCAGAGACCACCGATTCAAGCTCCAGTTGTTATAAATGGAAATCCTCAGTTTAAGATGGCTTAGATGTGACCTCATTTATGATCTCACATGGAAAAAAGACACTTATTTAAAAATCAACTACTGTATAAAATTAGTTGATTTATTTAGTGCCAATTCACAATTCAGAATTGTCCGAAAGTTTTCCATCTTAGAAAACCTAAAAGATTGCTTTGAGTCATTGACTCACAGGATTCCCTCCTCCTGTAAGAGCATGTAGCTGCAGGGGAAGGTTGCTTGCATTGAGCCATTGAGTATCCAGCAATCCCTCATATTGACTGTGACAGTGGAGAGGAAACTCCCCATAGATAGGAGGAAAACCACATCTGTTCTTTAAAACTATTTTCACTCACACTAAAGTAAAATTTTAAGCAAAGTCTAGATTGACATAAGTATGTTTAGTGGTTAAATGAAGAAAAGGCTCTGAAGTTTCAGGTTGGATTTTTAAGGTTGTCTTGTTCAACACACTATCTAATAAAGGTGAAGGAGAATATAACTCAGGAGTTTTAATCGAATGTATTGATATGAGCAATATCATAAATATAAAGAGCTATTTTAATTAAATATTTATTTAAATATTAACTTTTCCAGCCGGATGGACCTCCATCTCCTTTCAAGTTTTTAAGCCACCTCAGAGTAATTAGCTCTCGATTTGAAATTTCCTTTTTTGTTAGTATAGTAATTCCTAAAAATTCAACCTGCCACATGTTCACAAAGCATGTCGAATGTTGATCAAGTTTTACTTAATTTTATAATCCAAACAAAGTCCAGTTTTATGATAATGATGTTTTCACTTTACATGTTTGCATTATTTAGGTTACCACTGCCTTTAAATTAGCTGAACTATCAGGTCCTCCTCTTGTCTAAAGTCTTAACTTTATTTACCCTAAAGGTGAAAATCTGGATACTGTCAAAACCAGAAATATCCGCCACCTTTTCTCTGTTATCTATTAAAAAAAGTGGCTGCTTTGAATCTTTTTTATAGAGAAATAGGCCTCTAAACTGTATTTGTCTCTGGAAGGGAACAATTTATTCCTTTTTCTGAAATGAAATGGTCCCTAGTACCAAGCCAGGTGTATTTCTCTCTCTGTTTAGGAAGGTTTTTTTTACGTCTGCAGGCAGCCGGGGAATAAAAACAATGTCCCTCTCTTCCTACCAAAACTGTTAGGCTTGAAATCAAAAAATCTCTTAAACCAGTTTTTTTTTCTAAACACGGGTCATCTAGCTAACAATGAGCATTTGGCTCCCTTCCCATTAGCAAAAAAAAAAAAAAAAAAAACCTGGATCTTATCCCCTGCTAATCCAAACCGAGGAATATTTCTGTCTTTAAAGGTACAAAAGCTCAGCTCACTTCAGAACCAACAACACAGCCAAAGTGTTAAGAAAAAACTTGAGATACTTTTTGTAAAAAGGAATCTCCTCACCTCTGATTGTGCATGTGGATGCAGGCTGTAGGGTTGGTCCATCAGTGACTTCCTATGAGCAATACTACTTCCAGTAAGGGAGGAAACACCTATTATATATGTAAAAGGAGAGCTTTGTGTTTCCACTCTCAAGATTTCTCTGCCCGATATTTACCTGGAAGCGATCACTGGGAACAAAAAACTTAAAATAACACTTTCAAATTTATATGTATTTAATGATTCTAAAACATGATGGCATGTTTTATCAGAATTTAATCCTAGGTCGGGCGTACACTGTTTAATATTTTCAGTCTTTGTACTCGGCCACAGCTCAAACTGTATGATGAAATTGCTGGGTTAAAATTTTCACAGCTCACGATTGATTGTTCTTACATTGTATGGCCCAACGTTCTGATGCGATTTATCTGCTCACACTGCACCTCCAAAAATTATATGTTTGACTCAGCGCTGAGAGATTGCAGCAGACTGAAGACGTTTTATCGTGATCTCCCTTTTATCTCTTTTTTTCCTGTTTTTCCTTTCCAGTTTTACTTACATTGCAGTGTCCATATAATCTATAAAACTCCCTGCATAATCGTAATAAAGCTACTTGTGTTCGTAAATCAAGCGGAACACTATGGTGATAGCCGTACTTCTCCAATTGTGAAATCAAAATCTGTTGGGCCCTTTTTTGGCATCTAAACAATTATTCTTATTGACACATTGCCAGACAGGACACTGATTAAGAAAAACGACGGCCGACTGAATTTCAATTATTTTTGGTTTTCTCCCGACCTTACGATTTCTGATTGGAAGGTGGTCGTGAGAGGCTCCTCGCCCCTCCTTACCCCCTGTATACTACATGATGCATGGCGAACGTTGAGACGGAAACTCGGCCAAATCCAAAAAATTATCGCATGACTGGAGGATCGTCCCGAAAAGGCTACAAAAAATCGTACAGTGTATGCCCAGCCTTACTCAGACCAGAGAAATTGCTCAGTTTGCAAGGGTAGCGCTTTTCATCATCAGGAAGAGAGCCCAAAATAACAGTTAAAAGAAGATCATTATTAGGGGTGGAACGATTCACAAAATCCACGGTTGGGTTCGATTCACGGTTTCTGGTCACGGTTTTCGGTTCGATTCGATACATGTTGATTGTTACACTGAAATCCCATAAAAATTATGAAATTAATGAAAAAATCCCCCCAAAAATAATGGATTGTAATTATTTTAAATGATCCGCAAAAACCCTGGATCATTTCCGTATGTTTTGCTGCTTTGAATTTAATCATCTGGCGCATACTCTCTACCATCTCCAAGGGACTCAGAGGGGGGCAGACGAAGCCAAAGTGGGGGCTGTAGGCTTTGCTTTGATCAGCCGGTCTGGAGCGCAGCGGGGCGGAGTGGGGGTTGCTGACGGAGTATGAGGGATTTCGGGGTTAGCATGACATGTTGCTGTTAGCATAAACAAAACGTGTTGCACAATGCTTGCACACTGTTGCACTTTTATCCACAACTTTCTTTCCGCTGTCATCGTAGGTCACTCTAAATGCAAAGTGGTCCCATACAGCAGACCTATAAAGTGCTGCTGGCGCATCTTCCAACTCCTGTTCTTTCCCACTCGCCAGTCCGACACAATTCTCCACAACAACTGATTTTTTCCCCTGCTACACCCGGCTAAGCTGCTTCGCTTCTTCTTCTTGTTTACTACTGGCGGTTGGCTTTGGTCGCAGTACCGCCACCTTCTGCTCTGGAGTGTAATCGCTTCCTCTATGATAAAAAGGAGCAGCGCTGGAACCGAACGAAACACACGCGAACCGAACCGAGACGGTCGAACCGAACGATTCTGACGGTTTTCATAAATCGTCCCATCCCTAATCATTATACATCTGCAAAGTCACGCCCTGCTACATCATTGTATTGCTTCATCATCACATCACAGGACAGGACTGGCTAGACTAGACAGACTCAGGGACAATCCAGATGCACACTGACAGGAAATTTAACGGCATAGTGGAGGATGTTCTTTTTCCTGGTGGATCATCCTACGTGTTCTCCCCCATTTTTACTTACCGGTGTTAAGTCTGACATAGTGGAAAAATCACAAATCTTCTTTTGGAAATTAAGCTTGTAGGAGCGAGGCATGCATTAACTTTTATACAGAGCATGCAGGAGGAAAAATGGGCTCTTGCATTTGTTTAATAGGCATTCCCTCTCAGGACAGGGTTTCTGCGGGTCATTAAAAGTCATTAAATTATTATTTTTTTAAATTAAGGCCTTATTTGGCATTAAAATTCATTAAATGTGATTATCATGGCATTTAAAATGCTTTATAAAAAAAGAAAAATTTTGTCAAATATATCAGATTTAACTGGTTCCACGTGTTTGCATGGAACTGCTCCTGGTTGATCCTAAAGCCATATGTTCAGAACAGAAGCTCGAGGCACAGAAAAAGCTAGAGAATGGGAAAATGCTAATTTGATGGCATTAAAAATATTTCTAAGAGCATTAAAACAACATTAAATTAGAGTTCATCCTTCCTGTATAAACCCCACAGGAGCAGGTACAGGGTTGTGCATTTTAAATTTTTTCATAAGTGGGGAGGACTTTTCTAAAAGTTGATGAAAATCCTCCACTATACCTTTAACTGCTTGGTGAAAAAATAAGCCTTAAACCCAACAGCTAGGTATTACTAGTGTGTGAAAACAACATACATAAATAAAAAATATTCTAACAGTCCTCTGATTCCACTCATTCATAATGTTTCTGTGGTCGTTGTTGCAGTAAGTTCCTGATCTACTCCTGCCTGCTGCTGTTCTCCGTGTTGCTCTCCTTGAGGCTGGATGGCGTCATTCAGTGGAGCTACTGGGCCGTGTTCACCCCAATATGGCTGTGGAAACTGTTGGTGATCATTGGGGCCTCAGTGGGCACTGGAGTGTGGGCACACAACCCCCAGTACAGGTAGAAGCTCACATACACTCATGGATATTGATGTTTTCTCTTGTAGGGATTACAGTAAAAGAAAAAGCAGCTGCTTATAAACATCCATTCCTGTAAAAGTCTGTATTCAGTTACATACTTATCAGTTATACAGGTGGTTTACTGGAGATACTCCAGATGAAAAAGTTGTTCTACGTGATTTTTCAAGTATTTAATATTAAAGTAATATTTTATGTATTAGGAAAGTTGTTTCCCTTTGACTTGGGTGATGGTATGAATATCTGCATATTTATTCCAATATAATTGATGTGTTTTATTTTGTGTGCACCCGTAGGGCTGAAGGGGAGACATGCGTGGAGTTCAAAGCCATGCTGATAGCGGTGGGGCTCCACGTCCTTCTGCTGATGTTCGAGGTGTTGGTCTGCGATCGCGTGGAGAAGGGGAAATACTTCTGGCTGCTCGTCTTTATGCCTCTCTTCTTCGTGTCGCCCGTTTCTGTAGCAGCATGCGTCTGGGGTTTCAGACACGACCGCTCCCTGGAGGTCAGGAGACACGACACACACACACACACACACACACACACACACACACACACACACACACACACACACACACACACACACACACACACACACAGAGCTTAGGAAGAAAATCATGTCTGTTTTCTGTGCTTGGTTGGAAAGTTTAGTCTGTTTCTTTAGCACAAAAATGAGTATTTCCACCCAGTGTTGTATTTGACAACCATCTTAGATTTAGTCTTAAGGACGAAAACTATCATTACTTTTAGTCGCATTTTAGTCATTACGATATGTGGTATTTTTAGTCGACTAAAACTTAAAAGTCTCTATAGTCTAGTTTTAGGCTGGTTTATGTTGCAAAAAAGTGAACCTTTACAGTATTTGATAATCTTTACCAGACTGACAGCTCTAGCCTTCATACTACAAATTGCTGTGTACAGAATGCTGCCGCAGTTCTCTATAGCCGTTCGGCAGAAAATTTAAATTTATAGAATTCAAATAAACTTTCCTATGAACTAATGCCCTACTTTATGAAAAAGTGTCTCACAAACGTGAAAATAACAGATCTAATTCAACACATCATATTGGTTAATATAGCAGAGAGACAAGCTTACAAGACGTACAATAAAAAATTTGTTTTAGACATATAAGGTTTCCATCCCAAAGCAAACACTTCCTGATCTACTATGAATTATACATTACACACAGATCAATGAAATCTTCATTAATAAAAAAAAAAGTAGAAAAACATTCTTTCTAACTTATTTTTTTCATTCCCCCCTTTGTTACTGCTGCTCAGGGGTCAAAGTAGATTTAAATTAACAGGGTTTTGATATATAAAAAAAAATACAGAATTAACCTTCACAATTGCCATGGCAATCCAAACCTAGAGCTGGGCTAACATGTAGTTTATTTATTTATTTTTATTATTTTTTTTTTTTTTTTGCCCTTTTCGGGCCAACTTTCCAGTCTTGCAAGAATTTTCCAGTTCGGGCCGACTTTCAGCCTGATCGTGCATTGTGTGGTGTAGAGGGGGTAACGAGGGGTGATCAGCCTCTGACGACCACCTCATGATCAGAAATCGTAAGGCTGGGAGAAAATGAAACGTTTCATTTTCTCCCGACCGTCCTGGTCAAATCGAACAGGGCGCATGCGCTAACAAGGATTCTTCTTTTTCTTCTTCCTCTCAAATAAAAACACAGAAGCATGGCGGCAGTGCTAGAGAAATGGAGTTCTTTCTGTAAAATTGGCAGACCGTAGTAGCCACGTTTGCTCAGCCATTGTTTTATCCAAATATGCCGTCGCCTTTTCTTTTTAGGGCTTTCAAAGGAAACAGAAGATGTTTTAATCGCAATACAACGAAACATTTACCTCGTATTTAAATAGATACAAACGAGAACTAAGAGAGAAATATTCAAAGATCTATGTAACTTTTCATCTGTCTCTTTATTCAAAAATAAACAGTATGAAATGAAATTTTTTCTTGACATATAATTTAGGGTTTCCTTTCGGTAGAAATTAAAGGATGTTTAGAATCACCTCTTGTGAGCTTGATAAAATAAAATCTTGATAGACAAAGGGGTTTTTACACTTGACAGAGGATTATCAGCCACGTATGAGAATAGAATGTGCAGCGCTTCACGCCAGGCGAGCTGCGTGACCAAACAGGACGCAGCAGCACGGCTGATACTGCTTAGCACAATGATGCAATCTGTTATTTGATTTTAAATTTCTGACCGATGACTCGCTAACTTTCATTTAGTCTCGTCTTGTTGGCGAAAACCAAGCTATGACTATTCATGTTTTAGTCATCAAAGATCCACGTTTAGCTCCTCAGTTTTTGTTATTATGAAAAAAGGGAGCGTCAACGAAATGATTCTGTAATTTTTGATGAAAACGATGACAACAAAACACTATAAGTTTAATTGATCTTTTTATTTAATACTAACAAAATGTGATCTAAGAATAGATTTATTTTTTATTAGGTAACGATTTATGGAACATCAATTTGCCTTTTGGTCTTGATGATCAACTAAACTAACTAAATGTTGGTTATTAGCATGTTTGGCTATTTTGGATCAGATTAGATGTGGTGTTTTAAGATGAATCTGTAACCTAATGATTAATCTTGCTTGATTTTCTCCTCAGCTGGAGGTCCTTTGTTCTGTAAATATCCTGCAGTTTATCTTCATCGCCCTGAAGCTGGACAGAATCATCAACTGGCAGTGGCTGGTAAGGAACGTCACTCGCATACATGCCCAGCGCCACAAAAGAAACCCTAACGCTAAGTTCAGACCGCACACGATTGAAGCAGCAAAAGCAGCTGCTTTACATGCAAAGTCAATAGTTCATGCACACACTAGAAAAAAAATCAAAATCTAGATAAGTAATTTTTTTCTTAACATAAGTGCATTTGTTCTTGGATTGAAGAGGTAAAAGAAACATTTTGCCAATAGAAAAAGACAATTTACATTCAAAATAAGAAAACACAATTGCATTGTCTAATTTCAAGTGCATATTATCTAATTTTATTTTAAGACTAAAAATTCTCATTCCATTGGCAAACTATCCCATTTACCTACTTAAATTAAGGGTAAATACACTTAATTTATGAATTTTTTATTTATTTCTAGATACTTTTTTCCAGTGTATAAAAGCAGATAAAAGGTCCTGCAGCGTGTCTAGAGCAGCAGGAGCAGCAGCACCTTGATCTTCTAAACATCTGAGGTGCATATCGCACTTCACAAGCAGCAACTGCTAGAGTTTATTATGCCTAAATTAACTTAAAGCTATATGCACATTTTTAGGCGCATATGTGTGGTGAGCTGCGGTTTCACACTGAGGTTCTTTGAAAATGGCTGAGGGTCTACGAAGTGTATGAGAAGTAGAGAGAAACAAGACCACAGGGTTTTTGGGAGATTCTTTCACGCGATGGCGTACACAGAAAGCACAGGTCTGGTTTCCCTCTGATGCCTCGGTTGCAAGGTTTCCACTCCACAGGTAAAGTTTGGCATTATATTTGCAGAAATCAATTTCACATCACTGTAGGTAAAAGTTATCTACGGCCTATATTGTAACTTTCCAGTTTACTTTTTTTAATATATTTTATAATTTGCTTCGTTAGTATTTATACGATGGTCACCAATCCTTATTTACCCCACAAACACGTCCAGATTTCCACTTCAGCACACACTCACAAGCTTGTCATGGTTTTTTAATGTACCAGTAGTTTTATTTGCGGGGAAACATTTTATACGTAAATCCAAGCAAACGTCTTGTCATTGCGTACCCGCACATCCTCGAGGAGAAAGGGGCTTCTGCACGCTCTTCCACGCTTTTAATATTTGTTTTCTCTTAGGAGCGGGTACAGGGTTGTGCTTTTTATTTTAAAGTTAAGAGGGCAGGTCTTTTAAAAAAGTCGTGAAAATCATCCGCTATACCTTTTAAAATGTGTTTGCTTTTATTATTCTGGTGCCTGTAGTTTGGATTAGTTAAATGAAAACCGCTAACGTGTCCTTCCAGCTGTCACAAACTGTAGTGGAAAAACCTCAAGGGGCGACTGGGCAAGAAGCTGCTGTTGCTGGGGATTTGCAGTGACAGTGCACCGCCGCTGTACAGGGGTTTTGTGCTGGTCCCACGGCAAAATAATATTTGAAGGCGGGATCGTAATCTTGATGAACTGACTGCACTTAAAAAATATTAAAACTACTTTTTACTAGCAAAGCCGCTCTCTGCCATAACACAGGAGAAGCAGAAGCATCACACGCATCTAGTCACACTTTACTGGAGCATCAAAGATGCTCTTGAAGCACGTCGGACCTTAATGTGTACAAGCATAAAATTTAAGCAGCAGAAGCTTTTTTGCTGCTGAAAGAATGTTAGATGTGAATGTAGCATAAGATGCCTTCACTATTTCCACTTTGTTAGAAATGAAAAAAAAGGAAATACCGGTAGTTATAATGTAATGAAAACTGATTTTTTTTTTTTTTCTACATTTCTGTTTTTTTACTGTTTCAACATGCACATGTATTCACACTCAGTCTGTTAGCTCAGCACACGCTGTTGGGTATTCCTTTCAGTTTTCTGTCCTCTGAATCTCAGTCATGCTGGATGGGCTGCGGCGGAGAACAACCTGGGTTTAGGTCTTTCCATAAATGTTTGGATTAAAGTTCAGACTCTGGTTGAGCTGCTAAAAACATTCACAGACTGCTTCTAAAGTCTCCTTTGTTATCTTGGCTGTAGTTGTGTTAAAAGTTGCATCATCACCATAGTTTTCTTGAAGACTCTTAATTATTTTTTGCTGCTCTAATCGTATACTTAATGGGGACATTAGTCATTGATAGTCTCAAAGATCAGTTTTAAGTCTTTCCACAAATTCTCAGTTAGATTCACGTCTGGACCATAATACAAAATTAATCCTTTGATTTAAACAGCTCTATTGTAGCTCTGGCTGATAGTTTAGGTTTGTTATTTTTCTAAAAAGTGAATTTCAGCTCTTGTCTAATATCTTTTTCAGCCTCTAACAGCTTTTCTTTTGTTACAGTCTAGCCATCAACTCTGACCTGCTTCTGTTAGTGGCTGAAGATAAACAGCCCATCAGGACATTCCCATTGATGTTTGAATATACATGTTTTACAATAAATGCAGTGCTTTTGCTAAAAAAGAAACGGGTGTTGCATGACAGTTAGGCCTAATGTTGTTTTTGTCTATTAGCTAGCATTAAATAAAGCATTTCTGGTCTGGACATGACGGGATCTAAAAAATATCATTAGCACAATATTACTACCTTAATAATCCATCATTTGTTATGTTGATAAAAAGCTGATCATGTGTGTCCTGCAGGTGGTGTGTGTCCCGCTATGGATCCTGATGTCCTTCCTGTGCCTTGTTGTCCTCTACTACATCATCTGGTCAGTTCTCTTCCTCCGCTCCATAGACATCATCGCAGAGCAACGCCGCACTCACATCACCATGGCAATCAGCTGGATGACCATCGTGGTTCCTCTTCTCACCTTTGAGGTGAGGAATCTTTTATGAGAACATTTACACTGCTCCATATGTTACACAACTGAAGCTGTGCTAAAATTGTTTCCGAGAAAATTTGACAGATCCGTGTCTGCTGAAATGTATTAAAAGAATAAAAAGCTTGGTACATGTATACACACCTCATGATCAGGTCATTTGGTTTGGTCTCCATGTAAACAGAGATTTTGAATTATGATCAACCAAGATTTAGATCAGATCAGGGAAAGTTGGCATGTAAACATAGCTACTTTGGTGACCTGATTCTGCCTGCTGAAATTAATTTCCTGTACTGAATTCAGCTTGTGTGGTGAGGTTCTAATATTATTTCATTATTTTTTCAAGTAGATGTGCTTTACTAAAAGGTGTTAAGCACCCTGATGTTGTTTCCAAATGTTAAAGGTATAATGGAGGTTTTTTGCTACCGTATTTTCACGACCATAAGGCGCACCGTACTAAAAGGCGCAGTCTCAGTTATGTGTCCCATTTCTGTATTTAACACACACATAAGGCGCACCGGACTATAGGGCGCGTTTTTTATATACAGGTACATGTCCTCTACTACCTTTAAATACCTCTACTGCGTATTTAAAAATACAGCGGGAGCAAAACTGAGTATGACTGTGCTTTATTCATGTATTTATTACAAAGTATTAATCAATCCTGGCAGCTGGCCGTGAGACAGACACATCGCAGATGACACAGCGCTGTGGTCACTCCTAAATTAACTTAAAATCCTGAAACCTGCCGACGGAATATGTTCGCTTTTATTGCCGGTATCCTGGTGCCTGCAGTTTAAATTATTTAGATGAAAAACACCTGCCAGCTGCCAAGGTGAGGCTGCTGTTGAAGGGATTTACTGTCGGTGTACCGCTGGTATGTGGGGGTCTGAGCGCCTCCGTCAGGAATAGATAATCTGGATGAACTGACTGCAATTATTAAGTTTTCAGGTGGACTTTCTCACTTAAAAACATATTAAAACTACTTTATTCCCACTGATCACAGCAAATATAGCTGCAAGATTTAGATTATTTAGATGAAAAAACACCTGCCAGCCGCCGCGGTGAAACCAGAGGAGACCCGCCCAGAGGCTGCTGTTGAATTAAGTTTTCAGGTAGAAAAATAGAGCGGGAGCAAAACTGAGTATGATTGTGCTTTATTCATGTATTTATTACAAAGTATTAATCAAACCCATCAAAGTCATCATCCTCTGTTTCTGAATTAAACAGCTGCGCTAAATCAGACATGCCAGTTTCCCCTTCTTCGCTGTCAGTCACTTTCCGTGCAGCGCGGCTCCTCAGAAATAATGCCGGCTTTTGCGAAAGCTTGAACAACAGAGCCAGCAGACACGTTAGTCCAAGCATCAACAATCCATCCGCAAACTGTGGCGTAACTTGCCCGGCGCTGCCTTCCACTTATCCTGAAACTGTGGTCTCAGTCTGTCATCCATCGCTCCCACGCCGCTCGCAGCCTTACTTTGAACGGCCGCTTTCACACCGATGTCGAGCGGTTGAAGTTCCTTTGTCAGACCCCCGGGATAACGGCGAGCACAGCGTTCATTTGATTCACCATGTTTTTCTCATCAGCTGTGAGATGGGCACGCATGGAGTCACATATTAAAAGCGATGGTGATGCGTGGAAAAAAACCACCTGGTCTCCTCACATACACCTGCCTCAGCCACGCTTTCATCATCTCCTCATCCATCCAGCCCTTTTCATTTGCGTTAATATCATATGTCATCAGAGCGCTGTGTCTGTCTCGCTGTCAGCTCCCAGATCAGCTTCTCTGATTGGTTGATGCGGCGCGTCCAGCAGCAAAACTTCAATTTTTCCATCTCGAGCAGCAGCAGCGCGTTGGCAGATGCTTAAACGCTCCTGCTGCTCAAAACGCGCTGCGGGACCTTTTGCTGCGCCTATACGCGCGTCAACCATTGACTTTGCATGTAAACTCGCTGCTTCTGCTGCACCTGCTGCGTCCGGTTCACACCGATGTCGAGCGGTTGAACAGCGAGCACAGGGTTAATTTGTTTCCCCATGTTTTTCACATCAGCTGTGAGATGGGCACGCATGGAGTCACATATTAACAGCGATGGTGGTGAGTGGAAAAAAAACACCTGGTCTCCTTACATTCAGCCACTCTTTCATCATCTCCTCAATGAGGTGGTCTCAAAAGTCGCAGTTACAACACACATAGGGCGCACCGCACCAAAGGGCGCACCGCACATTTTGAGGGAAAAAAAAGACGTTTAAGTGCGCCTTATAGTCGTGAAAATACGGTAATTTTTGAAAAGACCCGCCCTGTCTAATTAGGGGGAAAAAAAGCAGATACACCCCTCTGCAACTGCTCCCGAGAGGAAATTCCTATTAAAAACTTGAATGTCTGTCTGAAACCGTAGCTCACCACACAAATGTGGCTGAAAGTGCGCATGCGCAGAAAAAGATTGCTAACGGAAAAGGCACGTAGGGACGGCCTTATGTAAACATATCACCAGAACGATTGACAATTAGGAGGAACACTTATTTAGATGATCCTCCTGAAAGAACATCCTCCACTATACCTTTAGGAGCTGTTTCCTCTGTAATATATTATTTCTAAATTTAAAAGCTGATTATTTTTCAGAGGGATTTAAACTTGTCTTAAATGTTGAGCTATGGGTTATTTTAAAAACGCTTCAATCGATTACACATTTTTGTTCATAACAAACCAGCCAAGCTGTAGCTTTTTTTTTCCCATTACACCTGTTAGAAAACACCTTTACTGGTGAATAATCCTGATAAACAGATGCAGTATTTAATGCACCTACCTGTTAAAAAAACAAATTTACTGAACACTTGTCCTGTTGTTTGAAGGAGGGTTTGAATCTGACAATAAGTGTGTATTGATAAAAATCCAACAAATAACATTTAAATCTCTGGCAATACTGATAAGATCAACAACACCCAACAAGAGCTGCTGAATAGAGCTAATAAATTCTTGCTTTATTGTCGTATGAATATGAAAGCCGTATATGGGTCATAGTAAAGAGAGCAGAGAACAAAGCCTCTCTTAATATTTTGCTTTTGATCTTTATTTGCATAGATCCTTCTGGTGCACAAGCTGGACGGCCACAACAGTCTGAGCTACGTGTGTGTGTTTGTCCCCCTGTGGCTCTCCCTGCTCACACTCATGGCCACCACCTTTGGGCAGAAAGGAGGGAACCACTGTGAGTATTAGAGGCCATCATCTGCTGCTGTTGTAAATGTTAGAATCATCAGAATGTGTTTTTGTTAATCTTTGAAATTAAAAATAGTTTTATCTTTCTTTAGTAAGCTGTTTGTCTTAATGGGTTACTTAATTCTCTTGTATTTTCTTCCACCAGGGTGGTTTGGAATCCGTAAGGACTTCTGTCACTTCCTGTTGGAGCTGCTGCCCTTCCTCAGGGAGTACGGCAACGTGTCCTACGACCTCCAACGCAGCGAGGACCCAGAGGCGGTGGAGGATCTGCCTGTCCCTGAGCCTCCACCTAAGATCGCCCCCATGTTCCACAAGAAAACCGGAGTGGTGATCACACAGAGTCCTGGGAAGTACTTTGTCCCTCCACCAAAGCTCTGCATCGATATGCCCGACTAACAGAGCGTCCGAGCTGGAGTGCAGCTGCTGGACTCATGTTTTAAAACTATTAAAGCCAAACAGCAGAGGACACTGTTTATAGATTTATCTGCTGACCTGAAGGATTCAGAGAAATGAGCTAAACTGAGCTGCAGGATGATGTGTTCAGAGCCAGTGTAGCGGTGGATCAAAATCCATCAGACTGGTTCCTTCAGCTGTTTGAAGAATTCCTGAATCTGAATTGAACAGCAAAGACACAATGTGTTGCTTATTCCCTGCTCTATCCAATCTAATGAACACTTTATGGTATCTGACTGCAGAGATATCAGAGATCCTCTGATGAATAGATTTAGATCTGTTTGAAGTAGAGTGGATCTGACTCTGAAACGTTGACTTTAAGGGGATAAAGCACGAGTCCAAAAAGAGACTTGGATCAGTTTGTGATGGGGACCATCGAAAGACTCTCTGGCTTCATTATGGGATCAGTTTAGCCCTCTTATTTTTGTAGTCTCTTTTATTTGGCCATGTGTTGTACATCCATGGCTAAATAATAGAAATAAGGGGTTGATTAATATGTTTTTTTTCAGATTTATTTAATTGCAATACTTGCCATCTGTGCACTAAAGACCAAGTCACTGTAATCATCCCCACGCTTAAATAGTGCTTTTCCATACCTTTTTCCTTTGATTATACAGTAGATAATTTTATAATAATTAGAATTACTTGCAGAAAATTCTTATTTTGCAGTGCAAACGTCTACAGAAGAGATAAAAATAACAATATACAATCGACAGTATATACAATTTATAATGCTGCTCAGTACAGATGAAACAATCTGAATTTTGTAGCAAACTTTAAGAACTATGATATAAAAACTGTAAAATGAAAATCCACTTTAAGTTTTAAATATTTTTAAGGTTTTAAAACCAAGGTAAGTCCTTGGTGGATATTTTAAACTGTCTTTAGAACGCTAGCTAGAAAGCTAGCACTTCTACAAATTAGCTAATTTTGGAAACCTCAATGATTGCTTGTGTTTATCTCAGAGATTCTCATGGATCCTAGAGGCTTTTATTTACTCTGAGATGTCAAAAGATGTGTCAGCATTTCTAAATTAAGAAAAGAGAGAGGTTGACACTTTAAAATAAGAGCAACTTTGCTGCAGAATGTTCAGCCTTCTTGTTTTCTACCGAAAATGTTGCTCTCTCAGCCTAATAGAAAAGTTAGCTTCACATAGCGGATATTCAAAATAGGGTATTTCATTATTGAAAAGAAACTTTGATTACAGTGGCTTGTTTTTTTGTGTCTTTGAAAGCATTGTTCTAAAATAAACTTGATTAAAATTGTTTATCATTAGGAGAAAATCTAAAACAGCACTTTGTTAACCAGTTCTGAGAGAAGCACTGTAGGACTTCTTATGTTTTGTATACCTCCTTTTTTTCTGTTTTTGTAAATACTACAGCTCCTGAAGATTGGGACCAGAAGATTGAAATAAAATCAGTCCTACACTCCTAATTAAATCAATCTAATGTAGCAGCTGTCACTTTTAATTTATAATCATTATTACAAACACCCATTATCATGTTATTGCATCATAGATTTTTACCAGTCCAGGTAAAGAAGGTTAAAGTCACAATCACCCTAATCTGCTTAAAGTAGTTTGTCTAAAATCAAAATTTGACCTAGAATATTTTCACGTTTTTATGTATCATTGTTTTCTTGCCTGACAAAAAAATGTCTATCCATGGTCACAATTTTTATGAAAACCTGACCATATGTTAATAAGATTCAAGCTGGTAACTATAAAAGTCCCTAATCAATAGACCTTCACTGTCTTTTCTGTATATTTTTTTTGTAATTAAATGGAAGAGATGCTGCTCCCTTAAAATCATTCTAACTTGTTTATTTATGCTGGAAGTAAATATAGGAGCTCCTGATGTGTGTCTCTATTTTTCTAATACATCTGTTCTTCCAGTGTAAAATGTTAATTCCAAAGCAGATGGATTCAGGTTTGTCACTAATATGTTGGATCAGTTATTTTAAGATTAAGCTTGATTGTCAGAAGAGTAAAACAACCAAACAGAAATGTGTCCCCCCCCCCCCCCCCCCCCCCCCCCGATTTCCACAAAAGTGACAATGTAGAACCCTGATGTTTGTGGATGTTTTTCCAGACATTCCACATTTTTTATGATTTCCATCAACTTTAAGCTTATATGTGCAATCAGCATGTTTTTCTTTACACTAAGCTTCTATTGGACAGAGCTCAAAGGTAAGGTATCACATTTGGTAAGTATTGCTCATCAGGAATATAAATACCGGTAAGATTAAAAGCAAATTCACTCTATAATTGCAATACAAATCTCTAGTGGTAGGCTGTGGAACTGCAGCACACATCAATGACCCTCAATGTTCATACATCCAAATGTCTTTTTTTCTCTTTTCTGTATGGGATGAAGTTGGGCTGTAAGATGAGTATTTTTGGAAAAAGACATCAACTCATTTGACATATTTGTTATTCATTTATTTGAAATGTTAGGCAACAGGATATATCCAACGTTTTCATTTTTTTTCCTATTGTTTAAACAACTGCTGTAACTCTGAGATGGATCGTTATACTTTAAAGCTGATTATGATGCCTTATGTTTTAAAGAACAAAATCACAAAACCTTTCCATCCAGATGTGTTTCTCAAGTGTAATTAACATATTGGAAGGTGAAGGTTTTATAGCAAAGAAGGAAATCTAAGATTGAAAGGTTTCATTGTCACTCTATAACTCTACACAGCAGGAATCATTAATAGAATTTAAGCGAGAAAACAGTGTCTCATTATTTAAAGCAAGCAGTTAAATAATCCAGAGGATAGTTAAAGCTCACAAAGGATACTATGGAAAACAAAAAGAACATGACTGATTTTAAAAAGAATCGAAAGGAACATTGTTCTTCTGTAAACTCCTTTGAAGCCAGACACAAAATATTGTGTTTTCCACATCGATTTGTTATGTCACTAAGCATTAATTTCCTATTAATGTAGTTTTTTTTATTTATATAAGTTCCCCTACTAAACTGTAGCATCAGAAAACAACTGGTCCAATTTATTCAGTTTTTAATCCAGATCTACCAAACTGTTACCCTGACGTAGTCCTACTCAATTCTAGTCAGAATATGAGTCTGATACTGCTCCATAGAGCTGTGATTATGGGGCGTGTTTCGAACAAACCAGGAAAAAAAATGCCTCTGCACTCAATTGGATAGACCTACAACCAATAAGAGCAACGGAGTGCGTGACGTATGTTAAGCCACGCATAGTTGTTGTCCACAAAAATCAAAGCGTGCAGTTTCACGCCTAGAATAAGAAGATGCGACTTGATCGCGTTTCTCTGTTCCTCTTTTAAAATTAATTTGCTGTCGATATCTTCTAGAACAGACCTAATAGCAGAATCTACTCACCTCAACTCTCCAGCGGCAGCCATTATTGTTGTCGCCCAGGCGCGCTTTGGTCACGTGGTTGATCACGTTACTCTTGATCATCTGTCCATTATCGTATAAAGCCCGCCCTGACAATTTGATTGGATCGCCTGACAGTGGGCGATAATACTCGCGCTACTATGGAGCAGAGCCAGACCGAACTTCCCCGAACTCAAACCTTGTGGGCGGGACTAAGTTCGGACTGGCACCCAGGCTACCAAACTGTAAGAATGTAATAAACAGAAGTTCAGTAGTAGATAATGGGGAGTTTATGTGATTGATGAGAAAAAAAATAAAAGTAGAGCCTTTATAAAATTTGACATAATATCCATTGAAAGTTTAAGCTTTTCCGCATCCTAGAACGTTGTACTTTATTCTGGAATACATTGTCTCTTTTAGAATCGTTTTTCATAGTAGAAATTAAAGAAAAGCTGACAGATTGAAAGAATTATTCTTATATTTAACATGTAACATAATAAAGGGTGTGATGGGTAGCGGTCGAGGGCGGGGACCCTGGCGTTCTGACCCTCTGCTGAAGAAGCTGGCTCTTGGGTCATGGAATGTTGCCTCTCTGGTGGGGAAGGAGCCTGAAGGAGCCTGAGCGGTGCAGTACCAACACTACCAACGAGGTCAGGAGCAGGGTGGTGTGCTCCTGACCTCAACTCGGGACGTCTTACGTCAGTGGGCGGAGTACTTCGAAGACCATTGAGGAAGCAGAGCCTGGGGGCTCCGGGTCGGGTTCTCCCATCTCTGTTGCTGAAGTCACTGAGGTGGTTAAAAAGCTCCTCGGTGGCAAGGCTCCAGGGGTGGATGAGATTCGCCTTGAGTACCTTAAGGCTCTGGATGTTTTGGGGCTGTGTTGGCTAACGCAGCTCTGCAACATTGTGTGGACATCAGGGGCAGTTCCCCTGAATTGGCAGACTGGGGTGGTGGTCCCTCTATTTAAAAAAGGGGACCGAAGGGTGTGTTCCAACTACAGAGGAATCACACTCTTAGACTCCCTGGTAAGGTCCATTCCAGGGTTCTGGAAAGGAGGGTCCCTCGGAATGTTCGAATCCCGGATTCAGGAGGAGCAGTTTGGTTTTTGTCCTGGCCGTGGAACACTGGATCAGCCCGATACCCTCAGCAGGATTCTAGAGGGTGCATGGGAGTTTGCCCAAAAAGTCTACATGTGTTTTGTGGATCTGGAGAAGACATTCGACCGTGTCCCTCGGGGGGTCCTGTGGGGGGGTACTCCGGGAGTATGGAGCACCAGGCCTTTTAATAGTGGCTCCTAGGTCTCTGTATGACCAGTGTCAGAGCCTGGTCAGCATTGCCGGCAGTAAGTCAGTCTCGTTTCTGGTGAGGGTTGGACTCCGCCAAGGTTGCCCTTTGTCACCGATTCTGTTCATAACTTAATGGACAGAATTACTAGGCGCAGCCAAGGTGTTGAGGGGATCTGTCTTGGTGGCCTCAGGATTGCATCTCTGTTATTCTCAGATGATGTGGTCCTGTTGGCTTCATCAGGGCGTGATCTACAGCTCTCACTGGAGCGGTTTGCAGCCGAGTGTGAAGCAGCCGGGATGAGGATCAGTACCTCCAAATCGAGACCATGGTCTTGAGCCGGAAAAGGGTAGAGTGCCTTCTCCGGGTTGGGGAGGATGTACAGCCCCTAGTTGAGGAGTTTAAGTATCTTGGGGTCTTGTTCACGAATGAGGGGAAGATGGAGCGGGAGATCGACAGGCGGATTGGTGCGACATCTGCTTTGAAGGGGGCCCCTGTACCGGTCTGTTGTGGTGAAGAGAGAGCTGAGCCAAAAAGCAAAGCTCTTGATTTAGCAGTCGATCTACGTTCCTACCCTCATCTATGGTCATGAGCTTTGGGTCATGACCGAAAGAATGAGATCCCGGATACAAGTGGCTGAAATTAGTTTTCTTTGTAGTGTGTCCTGGCTCTCCCTTAGAGAGAGGGTGAGGAGTTAAACCGTCCGGGGGGGACTCAGAGTAGAGCCGCCGCTCCTCCACATCAAGAGGAGCCAGTTGAGGTGGCTCGGGCATGTGGTTAGGAGGCATCCTGGATGTCTCCCTGGTAAGGTGTTCCAGGCACGTCCCATCGGCAGAAGGCCCAGGGGGAGACCCAGGACACGCTGGAGGGACTATTTTTCTCGGCTGGCCTGGGAGGGCCTTGGGATTCCCCCAGAGGAGCTCACCAAAATGGATGGGCAGAGGGATGTCTGTGTCTCCCTACTGAAGCTGCTACCCCCGTGACCCGACCCCGGATAAGCGAAAGAAGATGGATGGATGGCATATTAGAGGAAAAATATATATCAGAGCCTCCGGCCTACATGTCAGCATTGTCCTGCAGAGCTGGTACTGATCTGATCTCAGAATAAACTACTGCATCCTCTGCTGCTGGACTTGACTTTCCTGTCAATGAGAAGATATTTCTTAATAGAAAATGTCAAATCAATACACTCAAAGCAGACGATTTTAAATACTGCAACATTAAATGCAGAACAGTGGCGGTTCAAGACCTATTTTACCAGTGGGGCTAGAGTGAGGCCAGTGATTTTTCATGGTGGCACAAAGCAAAAGAAAAACAAATAAACAGGGCAATAGCAGACTGATGACCCTCTAAAAATACATATAATTACTTCACTCTATATGCACATGTAGTGGCTTTGGATGCGCTGAAAAATAAAATTTGCTGAACCTTCTTTAAAGGACACTGACGTTTTATTAGTTGTCTTGCAGATATCAACTAAGAGAGATAATGATGAACTGAACTCTATGCTGAGGTGTAATCAGCTTTAGTGTAATGATGACATGAAATTGACTGTACCTGCAGCTCCTGTTTTCCCTTCAGAGTAAACGGCGCCCTCCTCTGGTGGCCTATGATGTCTACCTGTAAAGATCATCCAATATGAGGGATAAAACCACTCAGTCAGTTTCTCATGTTTTACATTGTAGAAATGTGGGACTCACTCTCTTTCTTAGAGGATTTTATTTCAATGAGAGAGTATGTATGATCTCTGAGTTCTTCTCCTGCTGAAATAATGCAACATTTTTCTGAGTTACTTGACTGTAAATTACATGATTGTATGCTTTAAAAGATAAACTTTACCATTTCCAGCAGCTTCAGCAGAGCTGATTATATCATAGATATGAGCATCACCTAAAATGAATAAAAATACCAAAAAATATCATGAATTTAAAGAAAATTTACAAATTTTCAACAATTTACTTAAACCTTGTAAAAGTGATATATAGAACTTTAACATTAATATAGTGATCTAAACAGCACCAGCAGATTAACAACAAAGCTCTAAAAATAATGATTCAAAAATCTGCAATATAAAAAATATGTATATATGTCCCATAAAATTGCAAGACCAATACAATCATAATTCAATTCAATTCAATTCAGTTTATTTATATAGAGTCAAATTCACAACACATGTCATCTCAAGGCACTTTACAGTTCAACCAGATCATACAGTCAAATTGATACAAAGTTTTCTATCTAAGGAAAACCAGTTGATTGCATTGACTCATTGACTCAAATACAATCCCCCACACTAAGCATGCTTGTAGCGACAGTGGAGAGGAAAAACTCCCTTTTAACAGGAAGAAACCTCCAGCAGAACCAGGCTCAGTGTGAGCGGCCATCTGCCGAGGCCGACTGGGGTTCAAGGAGACAGAAGCAGAGATACAAAAAGCAGCTGTAAAAGGCGGCCCCGTCCAGGAAACACACAGCCAGGCAGACGAGCTCCAAGGCAGCTCCCATGCCAGAGGACGAAGAGAGCACATCCACTCAGTCACGGTCAGAGAAACAGGACCACACTGGAAAACAGGCCGATCTCCAACATCTATTAACAAGGGTGTTGATAGAAGCAGCACAGCTGATGTTTTTTTCCAGGATGACGTCACAGCCAAACAGGAACAGACGAGGCAAAGCTACTCTGAGGAAAAGCAGAGAGAGCAGAAGGTTAGAGATTGAACTAACAGATTCTGCAGAATAGGAGAACAGGATGTTTACATCTTATTTTACCTTCCTTAAATCAGACTAAACAGTTCAGCCAAACATGTTCTCTTTGGTAGAAATAGAGTAATATTTATGTTACTGTTGGGAACTGGGCTGAACTCCTTCATGCTTTTGGATCAGAGCATACAGACAAAAATGACTGGCTCACAAAATCTAACATCAAATCACTTTATAATGAGCATTTCCTCAGAATCATGCTGATAATAAAAAGGCAGTAATTAGAAACTCTCTTTAGAACTGTTTTTGTTCATAAAGTTTTGATGTTTTTGTTTCTAAACACTTTGAACGCATCGCCATCCTATAATAGTTTATGAAACTTGGTTAAAAGGCATAAACCATACTCATAAGCTCAAAGAACAATTCTTATCCTAATCAGCACAATGAGCTTCATGACTGCAATTGGCGCCTGTTATCCATGTTCTGGCTGGACAACCTGGGGAGATTGAGGATTAAATTGCCTGTTGAGTCTTTGAGAGGTCATAAGTTTGGATTTTAACCCCAACACCTTCTTCACAATATTTTAAGAAGGGTGTAAATAGATTCTTTATACAAAATAATTATTTGTAACTGTGTTTTTATCTGGCTTTTTTTTTTTTTTAAGTTATCTTGATATTTCTGTATCCTTGAACATTTGTGCAACCTCTACAGCTGGAGCCTTGACCACCAGCCGGAAGTCCCCAATGCAAACATCCAGTGGTGTCAAAAGTAGACACGTGTTACTTACATAGAAGTATAGATACTATAGTTTAAAAACACTCTGGTAGAAGTTGAAGTATCAACTTGACCTCTTTACTCAAGTAAAAGTGAAAAAGTATGTGCTTCAAAAACTACTTAAAGCATCAAAGTATAAAGTAACCTTAAAAAAAAACAAAACAAAAAAAAAAAACAGCCAGATGCCACTATATGAATTGAAAGCCCAATTGTCAGCTATTTTGAAAAATTCTTTGAGATAGGGCCAAGGATAAGGGAGGTCTTGTTGGTCTCCCGATACGCTCTCGCCTGTGTCCGACCTTTCAGACATTTCAGCATCTTTTTCTGAATCCTACATTGTAGCGTGGCATAGACAATTCATGTTTGCAGTTTGAAGAACACCTGCTAGCTTCTGATGATTTCCTTTAGCTAACCAATGAGTGTTTGCGTTATAATTTCCCTCTGGGATTATAAAAGTATTTCTGATTCTGATATGACTCTTTCAATGACACTAGTTTTCACTAGATGTGGATGGAGCCAATGATCTGCATTGGATGGTACACATTACATTAAATAAATATTTATAAACATAAAACCAAAGCCAAGAGTTACGAGTAAGGTTTGTTTTAAAAATATAAGGCATAGAAAGTACAGATACTTGTGTGAAAATTTCATGATTAGAAGTCAGAAGTTGGAAGAATAATAAGTAATGGAGTCTGTGAAATATTTTATTATTCATTATTTATCCTGCCAGTTTTTTTTCTTCACAGCAAAAAAAATCAATGTCTGTGTTGCAATTCAATTCAGTTTATTTTTCTAGCGCAATTCACAACACAAATCATCTCAAGGCACTTTACAGTTCAACCAGATCATACAGTCAGATTGATTCAAAGTTTTCTATCTAAGGAAAACCAGTTGATTGCATCGACTCATTGACGCAAACACAAATCCCTCACACTAAGCATGCTTGTAGCAACTGTGGAGAGGAAAAACTACCTTTTAACAGGAAGAAACCTCCAGCAGAACCAGGCTCAGTGTGAGCGGCCATCTGCTGAGGCCGATTTGGGTGTTGCAATAGTTAAAGCAGCTATAAGTTAGTTGATTTAATATTCATGAAAAGGTCTCACCCTTAGACCATCTGCAGCAACACAAGATCAGGAGAATAATGAGAATGAGTCCAATAACTGGTCCAACAATCAGCAGCACAGGAAGTGAAGAGCTGACAGGACTGGTGAGAGGAACTGGAGAAAATAAATATTAGAAAGCCATGTTATTAATCTGAAGATGTTATGTGATTGTAAACATGGACAGAAACCCACAGCACATTCACATTAACATTATTAGAGTTCACCTTGTTCATAGATTAAAGTTTAATGGCTTTCCTGAATAAAATCTATCAAATGTTTTCATCCTCTCACCTCTAACAGCCATCCAGCTCTGTGGTGACTTCTTTCCTGAATGTTCACACTTGTAGAAACCTTCATCTGACTTTGACACTGCAGAGATGTTCAGCTCCTCTCTGCCGTCATTGTGGATCAGTTTGTTATTGTGATAGAAAAACACATTGGAGAGAAGTTTTTGTTCTTTATCTCTGCAGCTCAGAGTAACAGGATCTCCCTCAGTCACAGGATGGACGGGGCTCACCAGGATAATACCATTAATATCTTCTATAAAACAATGAGAGAACATGAACATTTCATCAGAGATTGTTGGGATTAGAACTGTAAAAACCTTGAAAAGATGCCTTTCCCTTCAGTTTGATCACTTTGAACAGAAGTTTTTATTTATAAACTGATCTACCAACACAAAAGGGTCACCCTGTGACCTCACTGAGATATCAGATTAAACACAGAATGGTTCCTAGAGCGACATTATTGGAGGCTGAGGATGTTCTCTTCACTTTTATTTTCTAGATTTTATTGAGAATTCATCAACTGTTCCTCTGAGAGAGGTCTCAGAAAGATGATCACTAGAGGACAACAAATAATCAACTGTGTTGGAGGAGATAACATAGTTATTGTCCAGAATTTAGATAAGAATAGTTTTTATGAAGATGAAAATAGAAGAAATAAACAATAATGATTAACATCAGAATAAATCTGCAGCTCTGAAATTAAAAACACTGATGGTTCAGAGCAGCTCTGAAACATTTATGGGTCCATTAATATGATCATGTTATTTTAAATTAATTCAGTTCATTGAAAAATATCAAACAGTTTTACTTTCTACTGTAAAAAAGTTATGGAAGATTTTTTATAAAAAAATTATGAGAATAGTAGCTATAGATGAGAAATAACTTTAAAACTGAACAAAAGTTATTTAGTTTTTAAACTTTTTGAATAATAACTTGTTGAACAACCTTGATGATATAATAAATAATAATATAGTTAATATAGATGTGAGGATTTAAGGAGAATAATTTATCAAGGAGCAAATATTTCAGTTAGAGGTTACAGTACGTATTAATCATTAAATATACTGAAATGTGTTAATGTTGAAAATAAGGAAAGAGAAAGAAAAACATGATAAATCATAACCTACTCTGTACAGTGATGTTTACAGTGTTGCTGAAGTGTCCTGATCCAGACTCACACCAGTACACTCCACTATGATACGAGTGTAAACTGATGCTACATGTAGATCTGTTCATGATGTCCCAGAGGGAGCAGTCAAACAGTGAACCTGCTTCTGTAATCCACTTCACTATCCATTCAGCAGAGTTTCCCTCACAGCTCAGAGACACAGAGTCAGAGTTGAAGTGTTGAACTCTGTCAGGACTCACTGAGAGAGACGCTGCTGGATGAGGATCTGGAAAACAACACAGGATTTAGGCTGAGCACAGAAACAACAGGTAAAAGGATTATTATGGATTTTCTTTTTGAACGTCTTTAATAATAAATATAAGTGCAAACATTTAAACAAAGTGACCAAACTGGGATATCCGTTCTTTTAATCCAATATTAGTGAATCTAAGACTGTACTTCCTGCAGAAACTCAGGAAGCTCAACCTTCCACAGCAGCAGCTGATCATTTTCTATACCTCCATCCTTCAGTCTGTTTTATGTTCATCCATCTCTGTGGTTTGGTTCTTATCTACAAACAGGACCGGTCCAAAGTGTAATGAATAATGAGGTTTGCAGAGAGGATCATGCTGATCTTCCCTCCATCCAGGATCTACACAGGTCTAGTCAATGATTGGCTGGGGATACCTATGTGGCTATGGCATCGCTTACCCCCCTCTATTTCCACCCCTGCTTACTCTTTACTCATAGAGCAAGATTGTGCAGGGATTAAACAGAAAATAATTTACCCTAAATCTGTTTAGTTTTAATAGCTTTGAGCTTTTTAAGCAAATCAGATCAATAAAACCTGTATCACCTGCTTATTTATTGAACATATGAAGTTTAAAACAACCTTCAAAGAGTCTTAAGTTCTTTTTTTATCATTTTAATCTGTGGTGGATTGTTTAGACTCTGATCATATTGCGGTTTTCTCTGTACTGTGTGAAAACCTTTAAAATGACTTTATGGAACAACTGTGGTGTAAAGGTTATGAGAACATACTCGGAGAAAAATTTTAATGAAAACAGGAACATTCAAACTAACAGGGTTTAATAGATCACCAAAAACACAGGACTTGGAGTAAAGGCCAATTTAAGGAGTAATTTGATAAGCAATGTCTAAAGTGACATTGAAATTTATAAAGAGATGAGCCCCAAAAGTTCTGCAACACAATCTTATGGACTGATGAGACCAAGATAAATCTCTACCAAAGTGATGGAAAAACATTGTGGAGAAAAATGAGCCACTTATGATCTGAAGCTTAGAAGCTCATCTGTGAAGCAGGGTGGTGATTATTTAATGAGTATTGGTTTAATTTCATGCTTTGGGCTACATGGCAGCTTTTGGAACAGGATGATTAATATTTATTGGTGACATAACTGATGATGGTATCAGGTGAATGAATTCTGAAATGAACAGAAACATCCTTTCTTCTCATCTTCAGAAAAATGCATCCAAACTAATCTGGAGGAATTTTATCATGCAGCAGGACAATGACCCAAAGCACACTGCTAACAAAGCAAAGGACTCAATCAGGGGAAAAGTGGAAGGTTTTAGAAAGGCCAGTCAATCACCAGACCTTCACCCGACAGATCATGCATTTCACCTCCTGAAGAGGAGAATGAGAGAGAACCCCCCAAAATAAACAAGAACTGAAAGAAGCTGCAGTAAAAACCTGGAATAGCATCACAGAAGAAGAATCAACAGTTTGGATGTTGATGTTTATTAATACATTTTACTGGATATCATTAGTTTAGTAATGTAGTTTTAGGCTTATCTTTAAAGAACAATAATCAGACTGACTTGATTTAAAATGCAATAAATTAAAATTAAAGAAGATGATCTGAAATTTAACAGATGTCTTTAAACAACATAATTTTCTCACTCTACAGCTATAGACAGTATAAGATAAGAACAGCAAGAATCCATGTTAACTTTATCGGGTAAAAACTATAATAAATCTGATTCAAATCTAACATTTATTTGAATTCTTAGTAAAACATGACAGTAGATACAAAGCATTCATATGAATGTTCTTAGATAACAATGATGGTTACAGATTGAACATAAAACTATGGCTCCTGCTTAATTATAGCATAGAGAGGAAAATACTGACCTGCAGACCAGACAAACTTTAATTCACTGTAAGCAGTGAAATCTGCTGGATCTTCTCTTCCTGCTCCGCACACATATCCTGCTGTGTGATTTTGTCCATGAAGGATGGAGGAGTTCAGTTCAGTTCTGTTGGTGATGTCAGGCAGCAGCTTAAAGCTGTAGGATCTGGATGGTACATCAGGAACAGCTTTATACCAGAAGAACCTCCATCCTGCAGACTGAGGTTCAACCTCACAGCTCAGAGTCACTGAGGCTCCAGGACTCAGCCATGATGGAGACACAGAGAGGACAGGGAGAAGGTCACCTGTTGAAATCAATCATTAGGCAGCATCAGCACTATGATGGAGGAATTAGACTTTGATTGAAATGTTAGATCTTAAAATTCATTATTAATGTAATGTGGGTTTGGAGTCAATTAAATATAAACAATGTTGTGATACCAAAACGTAATAAACGTTAATTAAATAGTAGTTTAATACACATCTATTATAATTAGTGAACAGTAAATCTGATAACTAAAAGATAACCAGAGATAAATAGTCCAACTAATGCAAAGAAAGAGCATCAATGCTTTGATGATTGAAGCTTTATTCCACTGCAGAACCTGCTTTCCTTTAGCTTTATTATGATTCAAGTTATTAGGAGATACTGACAAAATAAAGAAATATAAGATCCTAAATGAAAAAAAATATATATAACAAACGTAAGTCAATATAAGTGAGAGGAATTGGATCAGAAAAAGCATTACAACAATATTTCGTAATTTAAGGACCAACCATTTATCTTGAATCTGTCAGCAGGAGGAGATTTCATGTTGTTTGGATAATAAACATACTTAAAGATACTTAACACAGTAAGTAACGTATGCTTTTTTTTTTTTTCCTGACAATATTATATCATTATTTAAATTAAAAAAAAAGCTACTCCACCATTTAACAAATCTGAAATCAATTTTTGTTTTAATGGTGAAAAGAAACCTGCGATGGACTGGTGACCTGTCCAGGGTGTACCCTGCCTCTCGCCCATTAACTGCTGGAGATAGGCACCAGCACCCTTTGCGACCCCACTTGGGACAAGTGTGTCAGATAATGGATGGATGGATGGATGGATGGATGGATGGATGGATGGATGGGTGAAAAGAAATTAAACTCACCAGTTTTCCTTACATAGACTTCATTGCTGCTTTCAGTGTAGAAAACTGGATCTCCTCTTCCTCCTCTGCAGCTGTATATACCTCCCTCTGAGACTCTGAGGACTCCATCTGCCTCATTTTTTCTGTTGGACTGAGCTGCATGATGCCATGACGGTCTGAACCAGTCAAACTTCCATCCAGCAGAGCTGGGCACAGAGCAGGTCAGTGTTATACTGCCCCCTGCTGGTATGATTGTTTCCTTTGCTGTCAGTTTGGCTCTTGGTTTTTCTGCTAATGAGGAAAAAACAAAAACAGGTAAATCTCCAGAATATTGTTTATTGAAGTTTTTTATCACCATAAATCTCACATACAGATAGTAGAATAAATCAGATGCATGATCCGCTGAGAATTTAAAGCCACATTTGACATAAATAATGGATCAACTTTTTAGTGACCTACATATTTTTATTCTTTTTTTTTCATATTTATCTGGCGCAACTAAAACATTTTTTTTTTATTTTCCAAGTATAGCCAGTTGTAACTTTACAATGTTTATATGTTCATGTTGTTCTTGAAAGTATTCACTGAAAAATATTGTTCAATGAAGAAATTTTTTTTAAAATGCAATATTATCTAAAACAAAAGAGTAAAGTTAGAACATTTCCTAAACTGTTCTGCACTGGTCAAAATAATATAGCTCACCTGTGGCAACGTTGTGATCATATTAGACACTAACAAAGCTGATAAGATCCTTAATGTTATGAAATATTTAATTCATACTTTAAGCATTAACTTGAAAACAAATACACTAAAATATTTGGAAAAACAACAGCTCAAATTTGAATGTTTTAATAGAAAAAACATGGTTAAATGAAACAAATTGAAACATTTCAAATAATCACTTATTTCTAAAATAGAAGGATAACTCACCAACAGTTAAGGAAAAATAATTACTCCATTGAGTTAACTCATAGTTTCTTCTTCCTCTGCAGCTGTAGGAGTCACTGTCTGCTGTTATGGTCCTGGATTCATTGAATATTGCAGAGTATCTGCTGGTTGTTCTCCATTCATACGTCCACTTAGTTCCTCCACCTCCATGGATCTCACATCTCAGAGTGACTGTCTCTCCTCTGAATATTGGAGACCAGTTGTGTTGCAGAGTCACAGTGGGTTTAATGGAAACTGCTCACATAAAGAAATATCTGGTTAGAACAGAAACATTTAGAACAAAAAAGTCTGTTTAACTTAACAAATTAAATAAATAAATCTGTACATTGACCTAATAGCATAAGAGAAATTAAACATTATTACAGCAATGATAAAAATAGAAATATTAATAACATAGTGAATTCAAAACATTAAAACTGACCTCTGAAAAAGGCTGACATCATGTAAAATATTAGTTTGAACATAATTAGGAGATAAAATATTATGCTTCCTTTCAGAAGAAAATAGCATTTAATAATGAATGTGAAGCAAATACACCAGTAAAAAAGGTTTTTACTGTCATGTTATTGTTGCTTAGACTAATGAATAATTTAACGTTGTGATGTTAAATTATGTAATAATCTTGATAAAGGCTGCCATCACAGAGCAGGTGAAATCTCTCATAGGTGTGTGACTGGCAGATAATCTAAAAAATGCACCTGCTTGGTCCTGTCGCTGATGCTTCATGTCACTGTCCCATTTGCTCCCATGGGAGCAGCACATGCTCTCTATGCCAGGAATTGATAAAAAATAAAAATCCAAAATATATTGCTTGTTCACATCCTTATGGGGAGCAACATTAATAATCTGCAAAGTCTCAGTTGCTCATATACAAACTCTCTCTATATACGTTCTTGAGGTTCCATGTTACATATTATTTTTAAAGGAGATAAATTAGGTTATTTTGTTACACATAGCAGCTGGAAACTTAAAAATGCCATGCCCTTCTGTTTCTGTTTAAGTACAGAAATTGGACTATATTATTAGAATTTTATTTACTGTCTGAAAGGGATACAAAACTAAATAGTTGTCTAAGTCTATAACTCTGAGTTATAAACATTTCTTTGTGCTCTGATCAGATGTATATAGAATCCATTCTGCTCTGCCTTTGACCCAACAGCAATAGGTTCTAAGAAAGGGCCTATAGGCTTATCCCTTAAAATTGAAAATGTGAAAGTATGACTTAGGAGTCAATCCCCAGTACCAGTAGGCCTACTAAACGAAACCATTATTAGCCAACCAGCAAGTGTTTGTTGGAATAAAATTGAGTCAGTGCTGAGCTGCACTCAGGATGAAATCTGTCAATTTCATTGTTTGCGAAACAAACACATAAAAACTGTTCACTGGGTTGACATGAATTCAAGCATTTGCCCCTTTCTGGAAAATAAATTGATAGGGTAAAATGCAACTATTTAAAGAAGAATTCCCCTTTTGGAAATAGTAACATATTTTTCTTTTTCATAACTTGTGGGTTTCTGTCAGTGTGGCAGAGATACAGCAAACCAATGGAACTAAGACTTAAATGAAGGTGTTTCTCCCACAACCAAATTCCAGCGAGTCTGCACTGATGCAGATTTAATGGGTGAGCAGTCCTCTTATCCTACCCAGCCTCCGCAGGAAAACCAAAAGCAGAGATTAGTGCATAGGGGTTGTGTTTAGGGGTCAGTTTGGAATTTGTCCAGTCCATTTGTATTGCCCTCTACAATACATGTAAATTGTTTGCTCATGGCAAAAAGTTCCTCTTTAATTTGAACACACCTTGAAGGTATCATTCCACCCTGTTAGCTCATAGTCTCTTCTAGCCCTGCTGCTGTTTTCTCCACTTTAGGATGGAGGAGCTCTGCTGATCCTGTATTTACTAGATGTTTGAGAGTTTCTGCTTATTGTTCTCCAGTTATACATGCACTGATATCCTCCACCTCCCTGACTCTCATATCTCTGAGGTACTATTTCTTCTCTGAATATTTGTACCTGTTTGATTGCAGAGTCATGGAAACTGTAGGAAATTAAGGAAGAGAGTCAAAACATAAAAATAAAAACTAAATACAAAATTAATAAAAAACAGTTGGAAAAAGTTCACATATCTTGTTTACCTTAAACAGATCAACTATGTTGATCATGCAAAATGTTTGCTTTAAACCTCTGAGAAAATGTTGTAGTTTTTCTGAATATTTTAGTTAAACAAACAGTTATTTTCCCATTCCTTCACTCTGTCTGTTATGATCTTAGTGCTGATGACTGGCTTAATGTATTGACAGAATAATCTGGCCATTGGAAGAGAGTAGCGTTTGGACGTAGAAGAATGTATATCTCAAGTCAAATCAGGCATACAGGAAATCCTAACACATTTGCGTAATCAGGACACCACTGCTCCCACACGACAGCGTCAGCGTCTATGGCACCTGTTGTCAGATCAGATTGTCAAGATTGTCTGTTTCCCCCTGAACTGTTTAAGGCTGACTCTGATCAATGTCGGGCTTAGCCAATAAAGCGAAGTTGTGGGGAACATCTGAATGGCAAAACAATTCTAGTTCATGTCAGTTCTAGTTCTGCCCAGTTCTTCCCGGAAGGGAGGCTTCTAGAGGACTTCTGTCAAATATTCAGGGAGATGGATCTGTACTGGAATATACAGAATATATCCTGCTGAACCACATCAAACTTTTTATCTCCTGAGATCTTCTGCTACCTGTAACTTTGTCAGTTAATTCCTGAAGTCATAACCTGTCTGCATTCATGGACTCTGGTGCTGATACTGAATTTATGGATGGGGACTTTGCCAGACCACTGGGTATAAGGCTTCTTCCATCACTGGATTCCCATAAGGTAATAGCCTCGGATGGCAATTTTGAACCAGTTGATCCTCAGTAAGGCTGCAGCTGTTTTCTGACATTTAGTCAATGAGGTACTCAGGGACATTGTGGTACATTGTGTTTTTGTATATCTGGATTACATTCTTATTTACTCTCAGGATTTGGATTCCCATAAGAAGAACGTAAGAGCTGTTCTATTGCACCTCTAGCAGAATCAGCTCTTTGTTAAAGCTGAAAAATATCAATTTCATGTTAAAACTATGTCATTCCTGGGTTTTGTGGTTTCCCCTGATCAGATTGCCAAGTACCATATGTAAGCACCATTACCAACTGGCCTGTTCCCAAAGATAGCAAGCAACTGCAAAGGTTCTTGGGGTTTGCTAATTTCTACAGAAAGTTTAACAGAAACTACAGTCAGATAGCTGCACCCCTTAAGGCCTTTAATTCAGATAAGATTAAGTTCTTTTGGAATGAACATGCTGATGGAACCTTTCAGACACTCAAAACTTTGTTTCCTTTTCACCTGTTTTGGTTTCCCATGATTGAAAAAGACAATTTATTGTAAAGGTGAAGGCCTCCAGTACTGGAGTTGGGGTGGTCCTCAGCCAAGAAGCCAGGGATAACAAGATTGACTCCTGTGCCTTCTTCTCCAAGGGACTTTCAAGCGCAGAGTGGAACTATGATGTGGGGGATCGGGAGCTACGGCGATAAAGCTGGTTCTGGAGGAATGGAGACAGTGGTTGGAGGGGTCCAATATGCAGAACACCACGGGAAACAGGGAAAAGGTTCAAATGAGTTTATTGACAAAAACACATGGAAATGAGTCAGGCACTGGTTCACGTCTAGGGAACTGGTTCACAGGAGACTGTAGGGGAGACAGTTCAGTTAGCCACGTAGCAGATGAATGTGGAATTGTTATCTTCTGAGATCTACCTTGAAGAATCCGGGTTTGGCTTTGAGAGAGGCACTGTTGGGTCCAGAGACTGTTTGATTCAGCAGGGTTCAGTTTCAGCTTCAGCGTCTTGCATCTAGTGTTTGGACAGACCTTGGTTTTCCAGCTCTTAGTCCAGAGCAGCATGAGAATCCAGAGGAAGGTCTTCAGGTTTGGCTCAGAGGGCAGGCTCGACAGGTTAAGCTCATCCAGAGCTTACAAGGCAAAAACAGGTTTCCTGTAAGCAGAGACAAAAAGGGAATTAGAATCCAACTAGGAGACTAGAAGCAACAAAGATTTCACAGAGGTAGTGAGGCTCAGGTGCTAACCAAACTGGATAAACACTGCGGCGTTGATGCGAGGTCTGAGGGCTGCTTAAATAGTAGAGGATCCTCCTGATGAGAAGATGGGCTTTAGGTGTGTCGAAGGCTCAGCTCAGGAGGATCCACAGCGAACTCTGGTGGAGACAGATGGAACTTCTCCAGATCCCAACATTCTGGAGGAATGGAGACTGTGGTTGGAGGGGTCCAAGATCAATTTCGTGATTTGGACCTTGAATACCAGAAGTTGGCTAAGAGACTTAATCCCAGACAGGCAAGGTTGCCACTTTTTTGGGCATTTAAACTTTTCATTGTCTTGCAAACCAGGGATGTTAAACTTGATGCTTG